TGCTGCGGTGCGTTATCGTGACGGGTGTGAATTGTATTGGTGATTATCAGTTAAGCATTGTATGTCAGGGTCATCGGCTATTGAATGTAGATTGCCATTTGATTTCATTAAGTAGCTTCGCGGGATATATATATTTATATTATATATATATGACTACCTAACTATAATGAAGTATTCATGGATCCCATATTGATGGTTTAAATTAGAAATGCGTAATTTGTTATTAAACGCCAGATGGACTACGAAATTCGGTACCAGCGGATCTTAAGGCGCCGTGTAAATAATCACTTTATCGTCACACTGTCTATCTGGTCGCATAAGGAGATTGAATTCGAGCATTGAGTGTTGGCTTGCATACTTACAGTGAACGTGAAGACTTCTTAAAGTAATTGCAGTGCATTGCAATTTTGCGATCTTTCTTTTAAAGGTCGACGGGCGACGATCTAACTTGCGTGAGGCGCCCGTATCTGGGAATGAGATTAATAACTGACCTTCCTTACTATTGTAGTAGATAAAGTGCTACGTTTACAGGTAAAACTGAGGTGTTTCGTGATACTAGTTTCTGCAAAATTATTATTTTCAGACGTATTTTTTTCAATGATTAGACAAGAACCTACAAGACCTCAGCTTATAATGAGATTATTCCTTCTGTTCAAAATTATTATTTTCAGACGTATTTTTTTCAATGATTAGACAAGAACCTACAAGACCTCAGCTTATAATGAGATTATTCCTTCTGTTCCCGGAGTGTCGTGAAATCAAATTGCTAATAATATCGAACTAAGATATCGTATTGTGTACAGTAATAAGTGCCACCACGGATGACTGTAGGTCCACAGGTAAGGAAGGCAGCTCGAAATGAAGATTTAATGTTTTGCGTTAAGTGTAACTTGAACACATCACAACAAGAGTCTTATCCACGTACCGAGTCTACTTCGCCACGAGAGCTAGGTCCACGGATCAGTGTGATTGATCATATCTCATAAAGCGCCATCTACGTATTTTTTACGTAAAATGACACGCCGTTGATCACAATATCACCTCAGTAGAATACGTTTATCTAAAAAATGCCTATCTACTTTATATTCGGTATTTGCTATGTAAACAAAATGGATTTGAATTTTGTGAAGCAGCTAATCTTATTGGATCATTAAATTGTATTCTAAATTTGAGCACATAAGCCCATGATGGTAGTTGGCTTATATTTATTAACCGACTTTAAAAAAAGGAGGAGGTTCTCAATTCGACTGTATGTTTTTTGTATATATGTTACGCGATAACTCCGGTATTTGTACACCGATTTTCATGAGTCTTTTTTTGTTGGAAAGAGGGGTACCTCCATAGTGGTTCCATTTAATTTTGAAGAAAATCATCCACCTCTAAGAGTGGCTGTTCACGCATGATGATTTATTTTTATAAATAGCGCCTAAATCTTATTATAAGGAGCAATTATTTGAATATTATAAATTATTTAAATGGTTGATTTTGCTATTCTCTAATTCAAGGCGTTTTTCTCTCTCAATATACTTTGAGTAGTGACAACCGATTTTTATTATCTCCTGTGTCCTGTATTAGTCCCGTATAGTGGCGAACTAGGGGATGAATCCGGGTTTGCACACTTTCCGGTAACCGATTTCAAAAAAACTTGGCAAATAGATGTAATTCCACGTACTTTTGAGGTCGGTTTTTTGATTGTCTGCATTCATTTATGAGAAAGATCTTGTTTCGGACGTAGCCGAGACTCGCATTTAAAAATCCACAAAACTGTATGAAAGATTAGGGTTCAGTTCTTAATATATCTCTTCAATAAGAAAGATCAGACTTGGGTCATCTACGAAACTCACTCATAAGATCGAACTCTGGGGTGCTCTTCAAACGTTGCGACATTTTCTCATTTCGTATTAATGTCACATCCTCATTGTCTACAGAAAATGCCAGTGAAGCCTCTAACGTCCAAAAAAATTCTTTTTTTCGGTATCATCAGAAATCGTACAAATAGAAATTTATTTTGCACTACATGGAATCACTTCGAAGAAAGTGTAATTTAATTTGGTTGGTTTATTATATTAACTGTTATTGTTTATACGTGGGGCGCACTATGAATATCCGGAATGAATAAGAAAAAAATACCATAAATGGTCAGAAATTAATTTATTGTTTCTCAAAATAATCTCCGTTAGCGTTAATGCACTTTTTCATACGAATGAACCAATTTTGAAAACGTTTATGCCACTTCTCCTAGACAATCTCTGAAACATATTTTTCATACTCTTCGACCGCCTCTTCAGGTGATGAAAATCGTTGACCGCGTAACTTGTTCTTAATTTTTGGAAATAAATAAAAATCACAAGGTGCCAGGTCGGGACTGCACGCGTGATGGCTCATAAGGTCAACGTTGTTCACCTTTAAAAATTTATTTGTTTCTCTGGCCGTGTGAGAACTGGCACTATGGTGGTGCAAGATGATACGGCGTTTACGGTTATTATTACAGAGTGTCAATAACTTCCGGCAAACAAATTGTCGTGTACAAATCACTTTTCACGGTACAACGATTCTCCAAAGCAACAGTAGTCATGTGTCCAGTTTTATTAAAAAAATAAGCAATCATCCGCTTAGAGGCACTTTGCACGCGCGCCACTTTGGTTGGTTTCGGCTCATCTCAAAAGACCCATACGCTCGATTGCTGCGTTGTTTTGGGATCGTAACTATAAATCCATGTTTCGTCACTTGTGTACTATGTCCCACACCCACACCAAATTTGACGCTCCTTCGTTGAACGCGATCCGTTTTTTGAGCCTCAGTCAAATTGTGTGGGATCCACCGAGAGCACAGCTTTTTCACACCCAAATGTTTGTGTAGTATTGATTATATTTCTCGTAGTTGTTTGTGTAGTATTGATTATATTTCTCGTAGTTGTTTGTGTAGTATTGATTATATGACTCATGCCTAAGCCTAAAGATGCCCGAATTTCATGGTATGTCACATGTCTGTCTGTTTTGATCCTACGGTGCACAGCATCGATGTTTTTGTTGTTCACAGCAGTGGACGAGCGACCATCACGAAATTCGTCACTGAGATTCACACGACCGCGTTTGAATTCTGAAAACCAGATATAAATAGTCGTCTTGCATGATGCTTCATCACCAAAAGCAGTTTGAAGCCGAGTCAAGCTCCGCTGAGCTGTTAAATTACACTTAAAGTGGTAGAAAATCATACTACGAAAATTTTCACGAGTTAAATCCATGGTGATGTAGACAACCAATTTCTATAATGACGCCACAATGTAAAAACAAGTGGCAGTCAGACGAAACAAACTGCATTCTACGGCCAAAGAGATCCATTTTCAAATCTTGTAATTACTTTTTAAATATTGTTTGCGTAAGCGACCAGTTCCGGAAACTTATAGTGCGCCCTATATGTATTAGTAACTATCAAATTATCTCTTAACATTGTACTTTAAATTGTAATTGCCTCCGTGCCTACATATTGAAGGCATTATTTACGTGTGCGTGCTCCATCGTCGACCTCATCGTCACTTTCCATCAGGTGAGATGGAGGTGAAATGCGCACATATATTTTATTAAAAAAAGTCGAACTCACTTTTTGTCACTGTTTCGTTTTCTTTCGAATTCGCGTGCAATATCCTGTTGAAAAAAGAATTAAAATACCTAAGTTCCTTAAAAATTACAATTTACCTATTTTAATACCATTTTCAATATTAAATTTACATATAATAAAAAGAGACGGGACGAACAAGTTGTGCGCCTGTCCATAACAGTTGCAGTGCCACTCATTTAAATCGCAAAGATCTGAGAGACACTGCCACTGCGCCCGTCACTTTAAGACATAAGTTGATAAGTCCCATGTGCCTGTCATTTCACCAGCACCCTTACCCTTCAAAACCGGAACGCGGCAATGCTAACATTACTGCTTGGCGGCAGAAATAAATTAGATGGCAGTATTTCCCTTGACGAACTCTTTCACAAGGACCTCTACTGCTACAAAACAAGTGAAGTACTTGTGTTATGGAACTCGGAAACAACGAAGATACCACAAACATACAGACCCAGGACAATATAGAAAAGTTAGTTTTCCTATATTGACCCGGCCAGGTATCGAATCCGGGATTACAGAGATGGCGACACCATTAAAACCGGTGTGCATGCCACTCGACCACGGAGGTCGACAATGGATGTACTCATACTAACGTTACCAGTAGCTGTTATCAAACTGCTCGCACTTCAAAAATCGTTATTTGAACGAGTCAACGTGAATGGGCCACTCTTCTACAAAACAGTTAGGTATTTCTCATCAAATTCATTATACTTTTGTAAATAACAGTCTCAAAAATAAAACAAGTGTCAAACGTAACCAGGTCACAGCTCAATTAATTTTATCAATATTTATTTACATTTATATCGTTAATAACTAGTGAATATTTTTATCACCTTTTCCGCGAAACATATTTATCTTATAAATTAAGGGAAAAAAACACGTGATTCACCTTGGCAGAGTTTAATTTATAATGTTATCCAAAAATGTTGGCAAAGGTTTAGGTAACTCAATGATGAATAAAAATACTACGTACGTAATGTACTTCTCTATTATTTATTAAAGAAATTAACGCATATTGTTTAATTGTGTGCGTTAAAATGTGTCGATCTACAGAAAAAATCACCTCATGGCGGCCTTCTAAGGGGATTTAATTCTTTCACTAAATGACAGTGTTTTTAGTTAACGCTTGAAACCTGCATGTATCTCAAAAGTTTAGGGTACCTTTACTGGCGGACAAACACAGAACGTTTAATATAATGCACTCCTAATTAAATCGGTGAGAGGAGATAACGTGCGCAATATTTTTTATCATTTTCATAAAGCAATTCGGCACGTTTTATTCCATCACACTCAATGTGCGTCAAAAGTGGTATCTTAAGTTTCTTTTGAATCTACCCAAGTTTACAGTTACCTAACACAATTCTAATTGTAACGTGTTTTTGCAGCTAGGCGGCGGCGGCGGCGCGGCCGGCGGGTGAGGTGAGGGGGGGACATGGAGGACGAGGTGACGTTCATGTTCCAGCTGGGCGTCGTGCGGGACGCCGTGCAGGCGCCCGCGCACCTGCTCACGCTCGCGCACCTCAAGGACCTCGCCGTCAAGTTCGTGCACGACAAGGTAACGAATATGATACGATAATGAATCACGCAACAATATACTGCACATGCGGAAGCAGTGATAGCCTAATAGGAGAACTGTTGCCTCTTCGTTAGTAGCACTTGTTTTCATTAAAGGTGAGAAAAACATTGAGATAAAACCTGCCCGTCGAAGATATGAACTGGGCCAGCGAGCGCGGCGCACGCAATAAACATCAAAATCATTAAGCGCATTCATTTCACCTTGTTCCGTTGTAAGATATTAGTTACGCTTTTATAATAGGTATACATGCGTATTAACACTGAATACATATATATCAATACTTGTTACTGGTAACATATTGTATTGATTTTGTCGAAATACCGATCATGTTTACGACATAGATCCCGGACAACGGCCTGAGCCGGCTATCCGAGCGCATCCTACTGTTCCGGCACGACTATTGCTCCCCCAACGTTTTACAACTCGTCAATTCTGGCACTGACGTCACGGACGAAACCCTCGTCGAGATCGTGCTCACCGCCAACCGTAAGTACCATACTTTCTTGCATCTGAATACTTACAGCGAAAATTGTTCCTTCTAACAGACGAGTTTTTTGAGATCTGAGCTACACTTGCAATGTCCACGCGTTCTTGTGACCCGGCCAGGAGCTTCTTTTACAACCGCCTCATTACTCCTTTTTCATAAAATTTGTCCATTACCAACAGTTGTTGAAACTCGTACGTAAATAACGTGTCTAAGCATACGCAGGAATTCCTTTTTTATGCGAATTTGGAATCATAAACGTGTACGGAAGGGTAATGGAAAGTTATCCAGAATATTGTTCCCTTCAACACCTTTCGAAAGTTCTTGTAGGTGGCAAACGTTTAGAGTGACGCTTGTGTATTGCAGCTCTGATCTGCGATGGCGGGCTGGAGGCTGCGCCGGCGCCACGACCTCACGCTCTAGCCGTGCACTCGTACAAGGCGCCCACTTTTTGCGATTTCTGCGGGGAGATGCTCTTCGGTCTCGTGCGACAGGGACTCAAATGCGAAGGTAACTTGTTAAATTGGAGACATTTTCACAGTGTATTCTAACATCTGTCGATCTGGCTTATTGCATGTCCTTGCGACATGAATACATGTTAAACTGAATAACATAACCAAAATGCGCCGCTAAAATCGTAACCGTCCTTTCGGGTAATAACCGTGAATGAAAGCGAGATACCAACTGATTGCAGGGTGCGGTCTGAACTACCACAAACGCTGCGCCGTTAAGGTCCCGTCCAACTGCACGGCGCCCGCGCTGCTGACGTCGACGCGGCGCACGTCGGGCGCCCCGCGCAGCCCGTCGCGCGGCTCGACGCACTCGCACGCGTCGCACGACGACTCGCTGGTAAGGCGCCTCGCGGACCTCGTCACCGGGAGGGCCGACGCCGCGGACTGACTCGCGCGAAGGCTGGGCCTGCTCGGCAGCCGGGGACCGACCGCGCGGCCTGAGTCCTACGCATTTACTAACAACAGCCATTCCCTAAATTTCAAGTGGAACACGAGACCCGCTTTCGAGTTGGGCGGTGTAGTTGACGCGCGTAGTTTGTAGATTTGTTCAAGTGCGTTTCTCCGCTGCTTTGAGTTGACATTCGATTATTGCCAGTCTAATGTAAAAAATCGATGATGTGTAACCGCTTGTGCACTATTTGTTCGAATCAGATTGGTATACATTTTATCGACTGGACCCGCGATAGTCGAGTGTCCGAGTGGTAAATTCTCTATAAAACGACGCGAAACATACAACAATCAGTATTCCAATTGGTGCAATGTAAGATTTTGCTCACAACGTTCTCATTATATTAACAAAATAACAACGGCACAGAGGCCTTAATTGTAATTATTTTACAAAATAAATATAATCCAACCATTGACCTCACATTGAATGACAATATTTTGTGGTTCTATATAATTTCGTAATATTAACAAATTGTAATTTATATCTTAGGTGGTAACATTCCAATAAATAAATAATAATCGCACAATATATGTGTTAAGTGTTACGAGAGAATGCGGTAAAATTATTTGAACGGACTTCACCATTCGTGACAAGTATAGGTTCATTAGAGAAATAAACCAGAGGGAATGGGCAGTTTTGGACAAACGCGTACCATCCTCAAGCGCTTAGCATCTGTGACCAAGCCTTCGTCTATTTAAGATAAAAATAATATATGTAAAGTGCTTTATTACCGTATTTTTTGACCAGCAGTGTGTTAACAACTATTTTCTTTCTTTATTTTATTGTTAAAAATCATGTACTCCAAGGTGTCGCCAGTATTTATTTAGAAATCTCAAGTTTTACTACACTCTTTCGTGGTATTGTGCGATCAGTTATCAGTGTTTTACACGCAAAGTGTATTACTAAAAGGCTAGGTAATTTTGTTTAAATATATTTTAAATCCGTCCACTCGCATGACTTTTTACTCCTTATTATATCGTCGTTTAATTTAAGTTTTAACTCAGAATAGGGTGGTGGGTAAATTTTACTCTTTGTAATTTAATTTCACAATAAACGTTATTAATTTTCAAATTTCGTGTTTTATTTCAAATACCCATCACCCTCTTCGAGTACGATAAACTTTTTTCGAGCATTGCCTTAAAATAATCTAAAATAAACTGGTGTTAGCGTAAAACTACACTACGCAGTTCATTTTATTTTTAAGTGCATCGGAATAACGCGAATCTATAATTACCGCAAAATAGATAAAAATACTCCGAGGTGATTTACGAGGGCGGTTTCATAAGTTTGTGATTTTGAGAAGGAAAAACTTTTTTTTAATTATGGTTTATTTTTCGACGTTATCTTCTTTTGGCACTGTACACCTTGACCGGCGGTATCCCGACTTCTTCAAACTATCAAAATAATATTTTTGTCAAACCGAAAAATACGACTCTATTTCAGCTATCACTTCCTCATTTAATGCAAATCGGTAAAAAATCAGATAAACATGTGAAACGGGGCCAAATCCGAAGTTTTGGCGTTTTGATTGCAGATGAGAAACGGAATACTCGGAATTCGGTTTCTCCATCTTCAAAAAATATATCGGCTTCACCTAACCAGTGACGCCATTTGCTTAGCGAGGAGTTCCTGGTTAAGACATAAACACAGAACGGCGAGAGACGGTTGTGTGCCCGCAGCTGGGCAGCGGCAAGCGCAGCCGCTCGCCGTCGCGCGCCGGCTCCGTGTCGGGCTGGCCCGGCGCCGCGCTGGGCATCCCGCACACCTTCGAGGTGCACTCGTACACGCGCCTCACCGTCTGCCGCCACTGCAAGAAGCTGCTGCGCGGGCTCTTCAAGCAGGGGCTGCAGTGCCGCGACTGCCACTACAACGCGCACCGCAAGTGCCTGCCCTTCGTGCCCAAGGACTGCGGCGGCGAAGTCAGGGACAACCATGGTTCGTCTCGTTCTTTCCTTTTCTCGCTAATTCCTGTCCTAAACATGTTTTCACCGTTTCTACGTTTCTGTCTTACTTCGAACGAGAGGTACGATTGACCACTCCGATTATACGGAGTGCGTTTTTTTTTAATGGTATGGAGAAATCCGCAGCCGTAGAAGATACAAGGAAACTGTCTTAGGCGCTAGTAAATCTTTATTGTGAAAACAATTTTGGCATAGTACATTTTTAGTCAAACGTGAGTTATCCATAAAAAATTAATAAAATTGGTCGACATTTTCGACTCAGTTTCGTGAAGGGATAATTTCATTGTATGGGACGAAAAAATCGGGACCACAGAAGTTGGTAAAATTTAATAAAACGATTTTTCATACAAAATTTACAATATTTTTTTAATGCTGATAAACTCGAGTTTCTTATAAAAATGATTTTATTATATTGGAAGAAAATAATCGGGAGCTGTCCCGAACTTCTGCTGAGAAGTAGATCAAATTTAATAAAATGTTTATTAAATTTGATTTTTATTTATTTTGTATGAATTTTTCTTTATGAAATTTGACCAACTTTTGTTGTTCCAATTTTTACTTTGAAATGATGATCTCTATATAAAATTGAATTGATCAGCACTACAAAAAATTTACTATGCCAAAATTGTTTTCACATAACTTTTTATGTGAAAACTTAGGTTCCTAAGACCGTTTCCTTGTATCTTCCATGGTTCGGATTTCCCGAAACAAAAACACTGTATGAAGTAGCGAGCTTTAGAATCATTTCCGTTTTTATAAATGTACGCATGTTTGCCGTTTAAGTGAAAGTGGTCACCTGTGACGATGACGCACGTGGCTTGCGCAAGTTTGCTCGCGATAAAACTCTCACGTGTAGACGGGCCTTTACGCAACCCTCCGACCGGAGACGAAGTTCTGCGTAAGGACATTTCGGAATATGTATCGTCGACGGTGGGTCGTCTGCATGCACCCCATAAAAGCGATGGCAATGCAGGCGAGTACCACGACAACAGCAGCATCTCGGGCAGCGAGTTGTCGGAGACCGCGCGCCTGCCTGACGACGAGTCGGACGACGGCGGGCCCGAGGGCGCGGAGAACGGCAGCCTCAACGACGAACAGGAGGTACCTATTCATGATAAACCAACCGTTCGCGGGTGTGGCGTTTAAAACTGTCAAATGAACGCTGCGGTGGAACTATTAATTCTAACAAAAAACAAATATCTTATAGAAAAACAACTCGTATCAACAAATTATATGTTTTATTTATTATATTTACAAATTCGCCAGAATACTTCATATTTTTTAAATGAAACTTGCAACCGATCAGCGGAGTCCACCCGACAGAGCAATGTTGTGAGCAAAATTTGCAGGTGCAGCTGCGCCGGCGCCGCGACGACGACTCGGACGAGCCGCAGCGCGACACGCTGCCCGAGCGGTCGGCCAGTCGCCCCAGCAGGTGATACAGTAACCGGTCGAGCAGTTCTCGGTGGAGGGGTGTTACTTGTGACGTTTATTGTTTGTCTCGTGGAGTTTCTTCGTTTGAAGGTGACGGAACGTTGTTGCGTTCGACGTTATTTTTATGTTACCATTGACTTACAAATAAATGGACGACGGGTCTAATACAAAAACCACGAAAAAAACGTCCCAAGTCAACCTATTTAAACGTAGTGACATGTAAAGGAATATGAAAAAGCTAAAACATTGAATTTAAATTGTAAAGTCATCGCAGTACTGCCTAATTTTGCTTGCAACAATTGAAAGGCGCAAAAAAACACCATATTCAGCTTCTACTGGAAACTTACCAAAATGCACCATATGTAGCTTCTAGTGAAAAGTACTTGAACACAGGTATAATGGAGTAGCCTTTATTATTAATAAATAAATTTTATATGTAAATGTTGAATTTTATACAATGCTATTCATTACGAGCTAGGGTGTCTGATTTTTTTCTTGAGTTCCGAGAATTCTCGTACCCGATTTCTCAAGTTATTCGAGATTTTTTTTTTTAAAACCGTAAAAAATCAGCTCAATCAACTATAAAACTAAATGTGAACTTTTCGAAAGTTGTTTTGGCCTGGGTGTTCTGAGTTGTGCCCCGAAATAAATTCCATCGTTCTTGGTTCCAGGTTCGATTCCCGGTAGAACCAATTTGGGAAATGAACTTCTGTAAATTGGTTCTGCTCTGGGATTCTGTTGCTCTGATACTCATGGGGAGTATGTACAGAGAGTTCCCTAGTTGCAGACCAGGTGATTCTCTTACAATAGAATACCAAGACCAGAACCATTTAGAAAAGTTAATTTGTTAAATTGATCCTACCGGTATCGAACCCGGGAACTTCTCATCCAGTGCCCACAGTGCAAACCGTTAGGCTATCAAGGTTGTACTACTTGTATTATTATCCATTGTTTGCATGTGAAAGCTACAAATTGCTTAAACTTTAAAAAAAATCCTATTTAATTTGCAGTGTCAGTCTGCTTCAATTACCTTCTTTGTTTCTTAAGTTGGTATATTTTGTCATTCATCCAACTTTTGATTTTTAATGCATTTTGACATTGTAAGATGTTCTCTGTTAATACTTGTCACTTTCTCTTTAAATTCAAGCTATGTTTACTAGATAAATTCCTGTATTCTCTCCTTTCTATGCACAGTTCACTCATTGATGTAATCACATACCAAAGCTTTAATATAAATTTAATAAAATTTAATATAATGCCTAGGCGCCAAAAACCAGTTCTTACTAGCAATGTTGGCAAAGCTTTTTTTTTTAATTTTCGTAAGCCTTTGCTGGTTATGTACATATCCGATTGTCTGAAATGAGCCGAGCAAACAAATTTGTATATTTTCGGAATAAAATGTTCTTCTCATCGCGATTCAGCTATTATATTTCTCCATATTGAGCTAAGTATAGGATCTCGAGGAAAACTGAAATAAATACATTTATTATGCCATGCCATAAGAAATGTCCCGATGTTTCGATTTTTTTAAAATCAAATTACACGTAAAGCCAAATTTTCATAATCCTGAAAACCGATTCATAATAAAACCGTTATGCTTTAGGGAGTTTTGGATGCTTATTACAAAGAAAAGACTAAGCTAGCTTAGGTTTGTTTTGTAATATTCTAAAAAAAAACCTAAAAAAATACTTTCAGGATTATGGAAATTCATGCAAATATTATTTCGGGCAAATGTATTTTCGGTCTCTGATTCGTAACTCCAAGCCGTAGAAAGAGTACAACAATATTTGAAAGTATTACTAACATGTATTAAAAATATTTTAATGATAACATTAGCATCAAAGCGACTCTATGAAATTTTTGTTCTAAATATTTCAAACGTTTGTGTTTGAAACAATTGAAATTGACGTGATAGGTCTCGTTCAGTCTTCTACGCAAGCTATGAGTCGGAAAGAGACAGTTAGCTATTTGATTATTTTGATCGCTTTTGTAATTTATATTTACGATTAATTTAAATATAAATTAAATATTATTATAATACTAGTGCATAAAATAACACTTTTAAATGATAACTATGATAACACAATGTAGTACTTATTGAAAATATGATATACCATCTTGTTTTTTCACATTAGTTGAGTAATTTTTACAAGATTTTACTACACAATACGGCACCATTGACAAGCGCGCTGTCAGTCGAACAAACAGGGAGTAAAGCGTGAATGACGCTCTGTATACGATTTTAACGCCCTATAAGTTCGGACACTTATTAGCGCGGACCCGACGTCCATATAATTGTAAGTCAATGTATGTTACGCATAAATTTATTGTTCGTTGTGGTTACTGTCATGTAAGCATTACGGGAAATTGAGGCTGTTTGTTGCTTTATAATCACAGTTTGTAATGAGATGCTAAACTTGACGTGGTGACGTCAGAAATACGTGCCCAACCGAGCGAGTTGAAGTTGATGTAGGAACAGTTTGTTTCTGTCGCGTCACTGTCGCTAGGAGTAGTTTTATAAGAAACCATGATTATAAGCAACGAGTACACAAGTGGCCTCTCCACCGTCCCCCGATCTCCCCCTTGAATCGGTTCCTTTTGAGCTGACTGGCGAGCTTGCAGCTCGTCGTCGTCGCCCAGCGCCAACATCCCGCTGATGCGCATCGTGCAGTCCGTGAGGCACACCAAGAAGCGCGAGGGGCAGTGGCTCAAGGAGGGCTGGCTCGTGCACTTCACCAACAAGGACAAAACGGTCGGTGGCCCCTTCACGTAAATATCTGTATCGTTTATTTTGTACACGCGCAAAAACAAAGCGGAGCAGGGGCGCGTTTCCGTTTCGCCTCCGCCGCTGCTGTCGGTCGGCGCGGGGACGGGCCGAAGCGGACGTCGCAATCCTGCCTTCGCCGCTCCGTTATTCACGGGGCGGACGCGGGATTCCGACGACGGCCTCGTCGGCGTTGCCGCAGCGCGCCTCGTAATGCTTTTATTTGTCAAAGTACCGTACGAATAGCAAGTGACGAACCCTGTTCGACGCGATCGCAGATAAAACGGCACTACTGGCGCCTGGACAGCAAGTCCATAACGCTCTTCACGTCCGAGCACGGCTCCAAGTACTACAAGGAGATCCCCCTGAACGAGATCCTGGCCGTGGACACCGCGCGGCAGCCGCACTCGGGTAAGTGGCGGCCGGCGCCCGGCGGCCGGCGCCCGGGCCGCCTCGTGGCCCGCCGCTCCCGCAGCGCCCCCTTGCGTCCGCAGACGTGATGCACTGCTTCGAGGTGCGCACGGCCGACGTGGACTACCTGGTGGGCGTGGACCCGCTGTGCTCGGCGGCCGTGGCGCTGCCGCCGCCCGACTCCGGCGTGGGCGCGTACCTGGCGCGCTCCTGGGAGACGGCCGTGCGCCAGGCGCTCATGCCCGTCACCGTCACGCACCACGCGGGTGAGTCGCGTCACGGCCCGCCCCGCCCCGCCGCCCCGCCGCCCCTCACCGCCCTCACCGCCCCCTCGCCTGCCCGCAGCCGACGGCGGCGCCGCCGCGGACGCCGGCGACGAGGCCGAGGCCGAGGGCGACGGCGCCGGCCGCGCCGCGGAGATGGCGCAGGTCTACCGGATCCACCCCGACGAGGTGCTCGGCTCCGGCCAGTTCGGCATCGTCTACGGCGGGCTGCATCGCAGGTCGCAGCGGCCCGTGGCCATCAAAGTAACCGCCCGGTTCCCTTCGCGCCCCGCGCCCGATGCGGTGAACGGGAAAGTGAGACGCCGTCGCGTTTCAGGTGATAGACAAGCTCCGTTTCCCGACGAAGCAGGAGGCGCAGCTGAAAAATGAGGTGGCGATCCTGCAGAACCTGTCGCACCCGGGCGTGGTGAACCTCGAGCGCATGTTCGAGACGCCGGAGAGGATCTTCGTCGTCATGGAGAAGCTCAAGGGGGACATGCTCGAGATGATCCTCTCGCACGAGAAGGGGCGGCTGCCCGAGAGGACTACGAAGTTTCTTGTCGCCCAGGTACCGCCCTGGCGAGGCGCGACTCGCTCCCCCTTTCGCTAGATACCAAAAAAATTTTACAATAATATCCAAAGTAATTTGATACGAAAGGTTCATGTTTTTCCAGATCCTAGTAGCCTTAAAACACCTGCACGAAAAGAACATAGTGCACTGCGACCTGAAGCCGGAGAACGTTCTCCTCTCCTCGGACGAGGAATTCCCGCAGGTGAAACTGTGCGATTTCGGGTTCGCGCGCATCATCGGGGAGAAGTCCTTCCGCCGCTCCGTCGTTGGCACGCCTGCGTATTTGGGTAACGGCTCGTAGTTCCTTTAAGCTTCGAAGCCCGCTTTCGCTCTCTTTTCATTCCACCCAACGCTTATCCATTAAGGATCCATTTTTTTCTTTCAAACAAATTGGGCCCAAAGATGTACCTCAAGTACTATCACATATTTTTGAATGAAAAATTACGATGAAGTCGTACAAAAATGAAATAGAATTTAATAATCACTCGTACCACCAAAAATTGTCGTTCGAACATGTAAATGACTGGCAACACAATAATAATATATGGCAATGTCTATGCTTATCCAGGTAGGTATCCAGCTATAGGGGTTGTTTAAAAAATAGATCTAATCGTGTCAGTTATGTAGCCACTACTTATTTTATAATTCATTTACTACGAGTTCATTATTATATTATTACGATACCTAATAAGGTTGACTACAACCATGTCCTGAAGTATTAAATTGTTAAAATGTCACTTAATGACACGGTCAACACGGGACATTTTATTACGCCTGTGTTTCGGTTGATTCACTTCTTTGCAGTATTACTATTGTGTTTTTGATATATTCATCACTGACTTTTCGCTACTCTTTACGTGACAGCTATCAAATTATATTAATTTAGGTTTCGTTGAATGCAGTATTCTTTATTCTTATAATTGTGGAATTACATTTTCCAGCAATTTTTCTACTATAAAGTTAAAAAGGTTAATCGAAGTTAACGGATATTGTCCTATGTAATTATAGAAATTTTTCGACATAAGTCGTACCTCGGCACGCAATTGGGCCCAAAAATGAACGGATCCCTTCCGAGGTCGATTCTGTCGTCGAGTTCGTTAGCTCCAAAGAGCCGCGAAACCGACCGTGCGACGTTGCAGCGCCGGAAGTGCTCCGCAACAAGGGCTACAACCGCTCCCTGGACATGTGGTCGGTGGGCGTGATCATCTACGTGTCGCTGTCGGGCACGTTCCCCTTCAACGAGGACGAGGACATCTCGGAGCAGATCCAGAACGCCGCCTTCATGTACCCGCCGCAGCCGTGGCGCACCATCTCGGCGGAGGGTGAGTGGGGCGAGGGGCGAGCGGCGAGGCTCGGGGCCCGCAGCCGCGGCGACTAACGCTCTCGTGCGCAGCCATCGACCTGATCAACAACCTGCTGCAAGTGAAGCAGCGCAAGCGGCTGTCGGTGGACAAGGCCTTCGGCCACTCGTGGCTGCAGACGCGCGAGGCGTGGCTGGACCTGCGCGCGCTGGAGGCCCGCGTGGGCGCGCGCTACCTCACGCACTGCTCCGACGACGCGCGCTGGGAGCCGCCCGAGGAGCCGCGCCACTGACTCGGGTGAGTCGCGCGGTCGCTCGACACGAGTCGTTTCTCTCTCGTCTCGCATTCGCGAGGAGCGGCCGCGCTCGGACGAGCGTTGGAGCCGAGCTGAACTTCTACTTTGGCGTCGCAGTCGTTCCATGAACACGATCAAGGACGGACGGCGACGGCCCGTCTATTTCGTGACCCAGTGTTTGTGACGACGTGCAGTGAAGAGACCCATCAATACTCGTGATTCATTATCGTAGCATCAAAAAAGCTAATCGAGTACAGCCTGTAGAGGCTAGGGTTGTAAAGTTGATACGGGTTATGCTCGCAGCATTGTCTTGTATTTCGCTTCATAACGTTTGTTTGCAGTAGCAAAAAATAATAACTTTTCTGTTTGTTGCCAAAAATAATAAACAACTTGCTGAATATTCCCAAATCTCCCAAACTCGACCTCATTTAATACAACGTTAACATGTTCTGCCGCAATAAAAATTAAATCTACACAAATGGCAGAAATCTGCGACAAAGGGTCACACTGTTCTCAATCTCAATTTTAAGATTCGCTCTGGACCTTTTGGAGGGAAAAGTGTCGTTTTTATTTTGACTGTCAATTATTTTGTGAAATCTAGTTTAAAGAGGAATAGGATAGTGCTATTGTGCCTTAATCGAAGATTAAAACGCGATTCTCGAACTAGAATATCCGTATCGGCCCGTTTTAAGGAATCCCGAGTCAATCCAAACACGCCGCCTCAAATTGCCTATCGTCTTTGTGGCGGCCATATTTACAGAAACAAACTTCATGTTTAGGCTGATGGCTTTGCCAAAGCCTTAATAAATTTAAAAAAAACAATTTTGACATTGACGTTGGCCTCTTGTCCAGACGTTCCTTTGCTAACTTCCTTATCTTTCATAAATATTGTCTAAAATTTTTAATCACATTGTCGTTTATTTTTTATTTATGTCATTACTATTTAATTGATTATTTGATTAAGTATTTCATAGCTTTAATGTTTTATGTGTGTACTATAAAATAAACAATACTTCAGGTAGGTAAACATTCAATCATGATTAAAATGAAACGTACGCACAAGAACGTTACCTAATCTGACAATGATTGATGATTTTGAAGAAGGAAAAAAATATTTCTTTGGAAGAATTACCAAAAATTGGCAACCCAATAGAATTGCATATGGCCAAAGGCTGAACGCCATAGTGCCAAGAAATAAGAAAACAAAAATCTATGATCGAACTGAATAAATTGCATTGTGTTCTTCTTACATTTATTTTAAAAATACATTGTTTTACAATTCCTTTATTCTCAACTTCTACAAGTATACAAAAATATATTGATAACTAGGCATAAACTAGGCATAAACCAAAACGTAAAATCATACTAACAAAGTCCATGAACGGCTCTTCGTTGATTTTATGATAATATTGTATTGTATTTAATATAATATTGAGTCAGCTTCCCCCACCTTTCTTACGGGAATTAACTGCATCCATTTTACACTTCACGGCAATATTATACCCGAATTGATAAACTCTCGACATAATATGATAAAACAATATATGTCGTATTTCAGTTAACAATCGTGATAGTAAAATAACTTTAGTGTTAAAAAACGCTTTGCTTCTCCTTCTTATCTGTACGACAAAGGCATGGAATACACTACCGAAAACTACAATTTAGAGCTATTCAAGGTGAACAAGCATTATTCGGACTAATGCGAAGCACCAGATCGTCGCTGATCATCAGGTGAGATTGCCAGCTCTATTTTTGCAAGCAAACTATATTTTGCATAAAAAAATAAACAATTTTTAATTTGCGAAAATAATGGTCACATTGTGAAACGTAAGCAGTCAACCGGAAATTTGCCAAAATGCTAGAATCGCTCCAGATTCATCAGATGTGTGAAGGTGTTGTAATACTGAAATCGTACTTTCACACACATTCAATCCAAAGTTGATAAGTTTAGAAACTTTGACAATAGGTCTCTAGACCTAGACAGGAGTTTCTTGCGATCATGTTACCGACTATAGAGAGAGCTCGGCGTTGTCTCGCCAAATCCTCATTTTTTTTTCTGTTAGATGATATGATAATGCTGACTTTTTTGTTTTCGATAATTTAACTTTAGGCTTTTCCTTGGTAATGGTAATAGATTACATCATGTAGAAAACTACACCTCATATTCACATGTATAGACGACTTCGTTAATGAAACAAATTACTCTTAAAAAGTTGAAAAACCAAATACAAATATACGACAACAAGCACATGGAAAAATTCGTGAGGTCCGCTGGTTCGCGCCGTAGCTTAGTTGGCATTGCGTCTGCCACGGTATGCTAGAAAACGTCGGTTCGAATCCCAATGGATCGAAGGATTTTTTCTAAGTTCGATATTTATATTACTCATTATAACAAATTAATACAATTCAGAATCTTTTACAGGGCCAAACCTACGTTTCCTACAGATTTGAAAACAACAGTGGCAGCTCAGAAGAAGCGTCTTCGATTTAAGTGGAGAAAACTGCTCTACATATTACAAATCCTCAACATCAGATAAAATCGGTTAGAGCTCACCTCCGCAACAGCGTATATTCTATTCACGTTAAGAATGCAGTAGTTTACAATACAAAGCGTTTAAAGCCGTGTGACTGGTCAATTTTGAATTTTGTTGCTGCATTTTACGTGATAATAAAGTGTGATTGGTCAGTTAATGTTTGCTACTGCACTTTTAACGCAAATAAGCGAGTAGACAGCTCCTCCAATGTCGAGACATTTTGTATACCCATGCATAACATATTGAAAAGCAAAGTACATAAATTTATGTTTATATTGATTATTATTTTATTGAGTTATATTTTCATTAAAGAGATTTGTTTTGTTATACTCGCAACAAAATTTATCCAAAGCGTGACATGAATTTAATGATAGAGATTGAGTTTATTGTTAAATTTGCAATTTAGCTTAACGTGAAAAGTTACCTGGATTAAGTAACAATTACATTTATTGTGGCGTTTGCTTGAAAATGATATTTTGTCAATTACTTTTTGAAGTATTTCACAAAGTGTACACAGTTTATTCTAAAACCTATCCTTGGAAAAACTCCATTATAAATAATCGTGAGCATTAATGCGTCGCCAAAAGACAGATGCAATAATTATATGCAAAATATGTGCGCATTGACTCACGTATACGAAACGAGGTTTATTAGTTTAGGAAACGAGGTTTATTACTACAGAGGATCATTTTCATGTATTACGCCACTCTGATTTCGGTTGTCTATTGCATTCCTAAGTTATGATCAGACAAACAAATTAAATGTGGACCCACAATAGTCTGATTTTTTAATTAGAAATAGCTATCTGACAGCCACTAATGACACTTGTTACCATCAAACAGAGAAAAGAAACTGTAACCAAACAACATTTCGTCTACATTCGGTCTCTACATACTTACGAGTATATTAAATTTTTTTTGTTACATTGATAACATTATAATTTAATAATAATAAATGAATACCTACAACTGACTATTCAAACACAATATTACCCTCTTAAATGAATCATTGAAGTCAAATCTTTTAAGACAACTCTATCTATATATTTCGTCAAAAACTAGTATCCCACTAAACGTCAATGTATTATCTCTAATTAAATTTTCCAGGCTTACATTTTCGAGTGTATTGCTGTGAGAAATAGCCAGGGTCAATATTTAATTTGTCAGTCTTTATTCGATGTTATAAACACTACGGTTACTTTAAGTAGTTTTAATCCAAACGAGATTTTTTTAATTTATTACGGGAGTTTAATTTAGTTTTTAGATACACGTTGATTTTTATTAATTTGTTGTGAATGCGTACATTTATGATGTGGTTTATGTAACTTTAACTTTGTTTTAACTAATTTTAGAGCAAATTTTTACTTGGCATAATATCGAATTAATGCAGAAATGTAGAACTTGTTCAATAGAATAAGCAAAATGCGAATGGTAACAAATAATGATTTTCGAACTAACGTCATGACGGTGCCGATTCTGTCATGCTTTATCTTAATCTTAATTAAAAATACGGTACAGGGCTAAAATCATTTGTAATAAAAAGAGATTTGGCACGTCAAAGTAAATAGAAAATTTGAAAAGAAATCCCAAATCTAGAAACCTCGTACTATTAAAAAACTCTTTGAGTTAATATTTCTCCTTAATACTTCTTTAACTAAGTCTTTCTAGTCTAAGAACTTTAAACCTCTTCCTATTTCTTAACTTAAGTATTCGCTGCTCGACGGATAATAACACTTTAATAAAATCATCATTAAAAATAAATATACAAAAGTTATTAAGGTTCCTCAACTAAATGTTTTAAGAATGATGAGTTTATTGTAGACGATTTTAGAATTTTTTACAATTTAATGTTGTAACTTACCCGCGGAAGTAAATTTGAAACTTTGCACTTGCTCTGTCTCTTTCATCACGACGCGAAAGAAAGAGAAGCAGACTAAGTACGCAGACTCAAATGGACTTGTGCGAGTTATAAGAGTCGTCTAGCGCCTCTTAATTAACGGCCTAAATAGTCTTAAAATTGTTATTTAAATTTTTTGCACCACTGTGGATTGTGCGTAAGGAGTACAATTAATAAACGTTATGATCTAGATAATAACTTGAATAATCCACCATGGTTAGTACCACCAACGACATTTTAAACGTGGTAAGTGTGTACGTCCATTTAAACACCAAGTAAAGAGCTGTATTCACGATCCTGCGTTACGAATTGCATGCAGAAGGACTTGCTTGAAATTTTGAGCTCGCCTTGCTGAATTGTGTATTATAAATAATCCCTGTTTAAACGGAACAGTTGGTGGTATTTTGCAGTGGAACTTCAAATAGGATTTATAGTTACGGTGCATCTGTTTAGAAGGAATCGATTGCGATTATTAGAATTCATTTTTATCTTGAGTTAGAAATTTGACGAACAAAAGGGAAAAAACAATTTAATCTTTATGGAAACTGAAGTTCCCATGACCAATGAGAGAATTTGGTAATTTGGATAGAAATGTATTGTCTAATATTTATTAAGTAATTATTGGTATGCGTACAATTTATTGCATAATAACGAATTGTAATGTTAAGCCAGGCCAAGCATTTTATAAGTTACAAAAACCGTTTGTGCAAACAAACTAAATATTTGTCATATTTTTCATCAAAGTTAATATTTTGCACAAGTTAAAATTTTAAAAATCATGAGAATAATTGAAGTGAAATTTATTACTGATTTTTATATTTTTTCGAATTTACGTAAGGATTTTCAACGAACTTTTACACCGAGATGAGATGGCTGTCTTTACGTCAAATACACCTTTTGGTGTTATATAGGCTTAGCATCAGAATGATAAGGTTTGAATTATCGATATAAGTATCAACTTCACTGTCCCACATGTTGACCGACGACCAAAATACTTCTGTCGATCGATTTCCAACTCACCTAAAGTTGACCATTTTTACTTTAGTTTTATTTTTCTTTAGCGCAAAAGCTAAGACAAAACAATCCGATGAAATTCGTAGCGAACGAATTCATCACCTGTTTCAGATGTTTGTTATAGATGAATCGACGGTCAAGACATTCTGTCGGACAACATGCCATTGACTGAATAGCTGCCCTTATTGGGAAACTGAAGAGTATAGGGACCCAACATAGAAAGTGTATACGCTGGCCTCAATGTATCGTATTATTTATATTGTTGACACGTATGTAATGTAACAGTATGTATTTCATATTCTTAGTACTATCGCAAATAGTTTTACTGTTCATTCCATATACTTACTGTTTACATCTGTGATTTTTTAAATTGTTTTTTTTATTACCAAGTAGCGCAATGCAAGCTTCCATTTTCTGTGATCTCTGACTTTTCGAGCTATATCGCATTTTAATTATTATTTATTAAACGGGGTTAGATTTTTTTAATGCCTACCTATACAAGATTAATGTAAGTAAGTGTTACTGTAAATATTTAAAGTAACGTATATTAATATGTCAATTTTATCTTGTCCGTTTAGCTATAGGGGTACATCACCACACATTTTTAGACGACTTGTGGTTCATTTTTATATACATTATGTCGATTAGCCTTTTTGCTGAGCGAAGTGTAATTATTGACACTTCTGTCTTCCTTTCCATTAATTTAACAATGAACACCGCAGCTACTGTTAGGCTCTTTCACTATGAATTAACCTTAATTAATAAAAACGAACCATGAAATAATGTTATTTTAAAAAAACCTTCAAAATAAAAGACTACACGATGCAGCTTCATAATAAAAAGACGACGATTACTCTAGCTATATTATTTTAGTCTTACGTTGACGATTCTAATGCAAGTTTTACCTAAAACTAAGTTGATTACGAAAACTAGTGACCACACCGCCGCACAAAAGTACCAAGGAACACCCAACCGATCGAGCCAATAAAGTTAAGTGGGAATAGCCTTTATTGCTCATGCTGACATTAAATTAAAACAGACGAAAATACAAAAGCATGTACAGTAATCGTCGAGCAATTTCGACCTGGCATACTATATCGCAGTTTCATCATACAAAAGTGTGTCTTCCCAAAGAAACCAATATAATATTTTATAGCAAAATTTTCACTACAACTTAACAAGTTGCTTTTAAAGACAACACTGACTCTTATAAGCTTCTGTTGTCAGTATAAGTTCGCAAAATACCGAAAGCCAAATGCAAGTTGTGCCAATTTAATAATATAGTATTTCCTGCGATGTTGGTGCGACCCGCACGATCCCTGTTCTTGCTCTGCCCCTCTATATGAAACATGCAATAGAATCTGCAACAATTGGACGTAGTTAAGCAAAAAGAATGAAATCCATAAAATTATCAAAAAATGAGGTATGTGTACCAAACGGTTCCTAAAGTCTAACTTGTTAGATCAGCAAGAAAAATCCAACATATAAACATCAATAATTATCTCTGGAGTTACATGACATTATAAGTTTTGAAAATAAAACAAGAGTGAGAAACATTTTTAAACTTCAAACTGCCGTGTCTCGAAAGTGAGTGTATGTGGATTGGATCCTTTTTGTTGAACTACGTCCAATTCGCTTTTGTACATTTAGTGACTTAGTATTATTTCCGCCAACGCTTCCTAAATTATTTTGGATTTTTTTCCAAATTAAAATACAGACTAAGTGCATAATATTTGGACCAACCCCCCAAGTGTAATCTTAGCGATAGATATTTTATATTAATTACTATATATAAATATATATATATATATATATATATATATATATATATATACATTGTGTGTATGTATGTGTGTATGTATATATATATATATATATATATACACACAAGCGGATATACATACCTCTCAGTGTAGTACCGAACAAAGTGTCAAATGTAATGGATGTTAGGTGTAAAATGTAGATAGAAAATAACGAGACTAATTGTATTATGTTTCTTTCTAAACTAATAGAGTATCGAGCAATTGAGATCGAGATAATTAAGTAAAATTATATTACTACGTGAAAAAGTAAGGTTTAAAAGCTGTCAAAAATAAATAAACTGTAGATTCATGTGAAAAGCGCAGCTCACAGATTGACCGTAGTTTAGTCTACAAAGAAACATAATAGGATCGTTTGGAAGTAATTATTGTTACGTGCGCGGGATTTCCGCCCTGACTCACGAGCGATCTAACAATCGATTTGCTACTACAACAGACGTGTATTTAACGTCTGTACAATGAAAAATAGTGAAACCAAATATGGACACCGCACCGTGATACAAAAGCAAAATCGGTTTCTTACATACATTTTTGGTTTGGTCTTTTGTTTTATCCACCGTTTGTGGAAAAGTCGTGGAAAGTTAAAATAATTCTGACCGATCTAGTTTGCAAGTTTTAAATGTGAATCGATTGTGAAAAGTTAACAGAGATATTTGGTAATACTTGACGCTTCATTTTGTGCTATGCAGCTATACTTAATCACATAAATAAATAATTTAGTGTTGTAAATAATACCATGTAAAATCTTGTTTTACTCGATCATTTACAAAGACCTGAATCTGGCACTGAATCAAGTGATGCTCTGTGAACTAGTCAACGCCTGAGCTCAGTGGGGACGTCCCGCTCGTTGATGTTGTAGAGTAAGAATTTTGCGACGTGATCAATTTACAAATTGTGTTAATGAATATTTAAACAATAAATACCGTTTTGAATAAATAACATTTTTATTCTTACTGTGGTTACTCGTCATATACATACAATACACATACATATTACCTACGTTAATTATGCATGTAAAAGAAAGTTCATTATTTTAATAGATAAATTAAAATCCACCAAAGATTTTACCGTTGGCATGTCCAACACTACTATATGCTTACAATTACAATTGTTTGCTAATAACGAGTTTGATAATCAAGGCACAAGCTATTAAGAAGTCAGTTACACCAACAGATATTATTTTAATGGCTGTTAGTGGCAATTGTATGGCTTAAAATCAAGCGTCTGTGCGAATTAATCTACATGTGAGTCACGCCTTGTGATTCGGTGCACTGAGCGACTATTCTGCGCGCACGGACCGAATAATCGCCCACACATTATAAAGTCACAACTGTATTTACGTGAAGTCAGTTTTTTATCACAGACTATAATTTGCTTGTATACATTTGAATAATGTTTTAACTAAATAACTAAACTAAGTGTTGATTAAAAATGTTATGTTTAAATAAAACTGGAATAAAGGTACAACCGTGTGATGGCCAAGAAGTCGTTATAGAGAAGGGTAGGCGCTATCATCGTAGATGGGTGAACTAGCGCTAAGGCCTGCAGTGGATAAAATTTAGCTATGGATGATGATGACGATGAAATATAACTGGAAATAACGTAACGAATTTAACTCTCGGCTCCCACAGAAAACTTGAATTTGAGTACCTTCGGAAAATGTTATACACCCCTGATATAACTGTAACATACACTTCAATTTTCCACGGCACGCGACACAGTCACAGTTAGTTCACACCGCGTCAATCATGTCAGCGCCTCGCACTCATCCACTATGTATCTAATACTCCTGCTACTGATACAAGTGCACGCAGAGTGGGTGGAGATCTATCAGCAACATTATAGGAAACCTCTACGACCCAGCTATACGTACACCGCCCTCGAAAAACCTGTCTTCGAAAGAACAACCAAAGGAAATCGTATTTACATCAACAATTCAATACCGGAATATCACTGGAATAAAGCAATACACAATGTACCCAATGACGACGTACGAAGATATGAGTATGAAACTTCTAGTACGACTGTAATCTCCAAACATGAAATTTCTGAACAAAAACCTATGACGATCTTTAACGTTGAAGATATTGAGTCGAAAAAAAAGGCTATCATGAAACTACCTAAACCGGTTACAGACCAAAGTATTAAAACAGCAGATTTGATTAATCATGAGGTCCCGAAAGTAAACAGCGCAGTGATCGTCCAGCGTTTAAAGTCTACTGAAGCCACGGTTAAGCCTATTAAATATGATGATGATTTTGAAATAAAGCCTTTGGAAGTTTATAATTTATCCGATGTTGAGTTGATCACTGGAGAATATACAGCAACAATCATCAATAATAAAAATGTCTACGCACCATTAACCACCAGTGAAGCTACAATGTTTAAAACACCATCGGAACATCCGCTGGTAACAAAAGTACCGAATCGAGAATTGACTAAAGTGACTGAACAGGATTTATTCGAACATGATTGGCCAACTAATGAAGACCGATACGAATATGCAGTTAAAATAGTTCCGAGTACTAGCAATAAGAGAAGAGTTGACATCATACGGAAAACTCATAATCCAAACGTGCTAAAAACTACAAATGATAACATTTTTGAATCTCATAAACCTACTAACTCATGGGCATCGAAATCTAAATATAATTTGGAAATGGATAGTGAAATGTCAAGCTTTGAAAAGATAGTTTTTGAGCGAGATACAACTCTTACTCCCAAAATACGATCAAGTTCGAAACCCCAAACCGTGAAACAAAAAGCTACAATAAAGGCCTCAAATATAACAATCCAGCCAGAAACTGAAATAGAAACAGCCATTTTCGAAGGTAATAAGGAGCAAACTAAGCTAATACATTTAAGCACTAACATTAATCCGAAGACCGAATTAAAAGTAGACAAGAATAGGATTCAAAACAATAGTTCCATCCCTACGACAGACCCTGACAAGGTGATGATATATGAAATACTAGAAGATCATGCAATGTCATCAGAAATTACCACCCAAAAACTTTCACTAAGTAACTTAGGTAATATAAAAAAAGTGTATCCTACCAAAATTACAAAAGTTGATAAAAATGGACATGAAATTGACAGCTCCTTTACACGTCTACCTTCTACTGAAGCAACTTTTACGGATGATGAATTAGCAATTATACAACACAATAAAGAAAATCAAGATAAAAACTTCCAAAGAATCCCATTCCAAGCAAATATCAAACAGGCATCAGTTATTACACAAAAAGGTTTCAATAAAACAACAGAGAAAAAAACGGGAATTGTTCATCCTGTAGCTACACAAACCACACAAGACTTAGAAGCAGTAATAGTTTCCGTAAACGATGATAAAATTTACAAAAAACCTTTTAAAGAAAATTTTAAACTAATACCAAAAGTTACTACAACAAACAAAACGCCTACTTTAACTACTGCAGCGACAAAGTACAACATTGATATTTTTAATAAAGTTACAGGACCAACTGATTCTAGTAGCTATGAGAGACATATCACATTACAACATAAGATTCCTGAATTCATTACAAAAGAGGAGGACTTCAATCGTGAACAAGAATCTGACGATACAAAAGTTATAGAAAACGAAAATGTTGATATTGATGTGCAAAAGTATGATATTGATTCAAATGTAAATGACATGGACACGGAAGACGTAGAAACTAGTATTAAAAAAGTAAGTGATGAAATGGTAACAGAAAACCCGAACAAAGTTAAAAGTGAAGCCAAGCAAGATAATTTCGAGACTATAGCTGAAAATACGAAGCAAGAAACATTATCAAGTGAAAACATACCAAACACAATGAAAACTATGATGAAAGTTCTGAAAATAGTAACAGATACTATTAAAAGAAATACGAGAAAAAACGTCAATAGTAAAGTGCGATATTTGGAACGTCTACGAGATACTATTTCTAAAACTATTGGTAAGTAATCGTGTTTTATATTTCTTTACGTACAGCCAAGAGCACGTTAAGCTTTGACCCTTTGACCCTTTGAAATTTAAATCATAAGGTTAAGTTTGACTCCCTATAATACAACACAATAAGACAGTATTACGGAATACTACGATTTTGGACTAAGCACAGCGACGAGCATAGAATGCTGAAACTTATCTAAACTAATACTATAAATGCGAAAGTAACTCTGATCGTAAAGGGGTTACGTTATGATTATGAATTATGAGCAATAATAGATTCAGTTAGAACAATAATGGATCATTCCTCTTAATTACCGTCTGCAGAAGACAGCATCGAGGCTGCATTCCCCGACGACAACCCTGCAAAATCCTCCCGGAACCGCATGACACGCTCCACTCAAGCCCTGCCACGCGGGCATGTTGAGTTCCCATCTTCGGAGAGTGCACTGATGACTATTTCCTTCCTTACTTTTGCTGTGTACCTTATTAAGTTGGTATTGGTAAGTGTAAATAGTGTAAATCATAAATATTTTGCTCGTAACCAACGGTATCTATGTAGTGTAGTAGCGTACCGTAACCTTGATAATAACTCCCCAATAACCTGTGGTTTTATTGTCCACAGCAAATTATTCAAGCCTACAAGAATAAAACAATGATGATGATGCCGACCGTCGTAGCTGCTATTGGACGAGCCTACAGCTACGGTCGCTCTAAACATTGATTTTTAATTATAAATTTATTGGTAACCCTAAAAATGGTTTTTTCTTTTCATAATTTCCCGCGCAGCTGTTTGCGGTCCCTCACTATATTTGAACGTTTTGTCGTTTCATACAGAACGTAGGCCTCGAAACAAATCGTAATAAATAGAAAACAATTATTTTTAGATAATTTAACAATTTGTATAAATAAATAATCTTTAATGAGTGAATATCAAGAAATTATGTTCCAATAAATTTAAAAACGTATCAAGAACTATGTGTTCTGAGGTTTGATCGCAGCAACAAAACGAAAAATCATTAAACAAACCCTCCGCGAAGTGCGTGCTTCGAAAACAATTAAGAATATTTATATTAGCGAATATGAACAGTACAACAGAACGAATATTTCTCTCAAATCCTGGAGCGCGCCAGTCTTCTAGCATGAGCCAAGTCAATCTCGAAAGTAAGTGCTATTGTTTGCTTAATGTCTCGCATCACATTTTCGTTACAATGGATGGTGGCTACCCATTAATAGGCCGGCCATGCGTACAATTCTCTTCTAGAGGAGTTTTCGCTTCTATTTATCATGGTGATTCTTTTATCACTAGCCTATTTTTATAATTAAACGAATATTCTAAATTTCTTCAATGCTTTCTAGTTGTTTCTTTTTGTCCTCACAATGGAGCGACCATCTTTTATTTGTATACAAATCAATCAATTAAGTACTCGGATATTCTACACTCTTAAGTCTAGACATAAAGCTTACAATTTATTTTTACAATCTACAATAAGTCGACTGTTGGGATATGTACTTGTACACACACTCGTACGTTTAGATTCACATTGGGGTAGGCAGAGACAATCGATCGTCACTGCGCGATCCAGACAACTGCCAACTTCATTGCCAATAATAATTATTTTCTTACAAACTCTTAATATTCTATGCGCTCCAGCCTTTTTAAGAACATTCTGAATTTGAAGTAAGGTAATCTTTTGAGGTCATGTCAGTCATGTGTCCAAGCCACCTCAATCAACATACCATTCTCTATTTTTATCACTATGTCCTTTTTGAAACAACATTATTTGCAGATCATAGTAATCCACACTCTGTTGCATAACAATATATTACAAATTTTACTTAGGCACCTCATTTCTATTGCATTCACTTTACTCTAGTGCTTTTTTGCCATACCCAACACTTGCTCCCACTCGTCAGTGTTGGATCCAAAACAGTATTATGCTAATATATTACTACGCCTTCAACTTCACACTAACCTCTTTCACCTAAACATCGAGGGTTCTAGAGAACTGTGTGACTACTGAAAACTCTCAGGGAAAGTAATAAAGTGGTCCTGCGCTGGGTTCCAGGTCACCCTGACGTCGAGGTAAATGAGACAGCAGATGTACTGGCAAAGGTTGGTGCTAGGGAAACCTTTATTGGACCCGAACCCTTTATAGGGATAGCATACAGCCTGGCAAAGCTCACTCTGCTGAATGAAAGCACACACATCTCCCGAGAAGTGTGGCTACAGAGTAAGGGTCTTGAGCATTCAAAAGCCCTGATAGTTGCCTAGAGTGCCAAACACTGTAGAGAAGTTCTGTCATTGGACAGGAATGGCACCAGAATACTCACTAGAGTCTTAACAGGACATTGTGGCTTGAGCAAGCACATGTCAAATATTGGGCAGAGAGAGTAGAGAGTGTAGATTCTGCCACAAGGTGGATGACACTCATGCTCATCTTCTCACCCAATGTAACCAATGTAACCCTGATGGGCGTACGAAGCTCCATACTGGGAAGGCACATGCCACAACCAGAGGACATTCAATCTGTCGGAGCCAGGAAAGTCCTTCAGTTCTTCAATGCTGTCGGCCTTGGCTCTGAACTGTAATTAGTGGTGATCACAATACATCAACTGATGATCGCAGTAACGAGGGGCTACACATGTCCCGATGAAGCCACCCTAACAATAATAATAACTCAACTTGCAACTTTTGTATCTATGGCTCTGTCGTTTTGCGATGTAAACATACATTCTATGTACACAAACTCTTTGACTTGTATACTTTTTGTCCATCATTTTCATTATTAATTGTCATGTCATTCCCTTTCTTTGTACCTATATGTATTTGTATAATTATTATTTTACTATTTTCCTAAATAAACGTGTATTTCTGCAGATGTGCAAGATTTCTCAAATTTATGCAGAACATGTGCCACCAACACACAATATGTCATCCCAATATTCTCCGGTGAAGGCCTGCAGAACAACTTAGCTGATAAGATTCACAAACACCTGCCTATACAGGTAAGCTATGCTACACACAGAAGGCTACACGTGATTTCTTCGCTTTGTCAGACTATTAAAAGTGACCATGAATAGGCTTTTAAACCCTGTTGGTAATGACTTCAAACAACAGTATTCTTGTTAGTATTAAAGCCCAAGTATTGCTACTATTTAGTATTAATAGTAGCAATACTTGGGCCTTTCTTATTTCTGATTTATATTAATGATCTGCCATTCTTTGTTAAGGACCATTGCGAAATAGTGTTGTTTGCTGATGACACATTCTTGATTTTTAAAATAGACAGACATGACATTAACTATGACCATATTAATGATACCCTCTCTAAGGTACTTTATTGGTTTAATGCTAACAATTTATTGCTTAATGCCAAGAAGACAAAATGTGTTAAATTTGAATTACCTAACGTAAAATCGACTAGTCCAAGCATAGAAATAAACGGAGAAAAGTTAGACCTTGTTAATAATGCAGTCTTCTTGGGAGTGACCTTAGATAGTAAACTTCAATGGTTTCCACATATATCGTCCCTGGCCAGCAGATTAAGCTCCGCTGCATACCTGTACGCAGTGCGCAGAATACGTGAGCTTACCGATGTTAGTACTGCTAGACTAGTTTACTTTAGTTACTTCCATAGTATAATGTCCTACGGGATTCTCTTGTGGGGTAAAGCAGCAGATATTCAAACCATATTTGTATTGCAAAAACGAGCGATTCGTTCTGTGTACTGTCTAGGCTCTCGGGTTTCTCTCAGAGAAAAGTTTAAGGAGACTGGTATCATGATTGTGGCATCACAGTACATATACTCAAATATTTTATACGCCCGTAAAAATATATATAATATCAATAAGAAAAAAGATATCCATAATATTAACCTTAGAGCTAAGTCCAAACTCATGGTACCACGATTTCGTTTAACCAAGGTGAACAACTCTTTTATGGGGAAAATTTGATTCAAAGTGTATTCCATAGCATTTAAGTTTATTTGAAAAGAGCAATCCCTAGAGTTTCTTGCTCGTTCTTCTCAGGGAGGTCAGCGTAGTGAACGAGCAGTAGCTTAAATGTGACGTGTTCAAGTGTAAATTTATTTTACCTATGGAATAAATAATGTTTGACTTTGACATCTAGTTGGTTTTTTAAACTACAATAGTATCTATCTATCTATATACAATAGTAGTAGTAGGTATTTTTATGGAATGGGTCTTACCATATAATGGATACAGATTGAAAATGTCCTTAGAGGCTGGGTTAAACATACCAAAAATAAATGAGATTTATCATAAAGTTGAAGCGAGTGGAGGTCGTTAAAAATATACGTCTACGAGTACATAACACTTGTAGGTCTACTGTCTCTGATTACCCCATTTGTAGACAGTTGTGATGGTATGAATGAGTTTCTACGGCAAATCGTAGGCCTTAGACTTAAAAAGTAATAGAAGCGTAAATACACATACACATATTATATGGACGTCGGGTCCGCGCTAGAAAGTGTCCGAACTTATAGGGCGTTAAAATCGTATACAGAGCGTCATTCACGCTTTAGTCTTCGTTTGTTCGACTGACAGCGAAGCAAACAAAATTAGACAGTACTGCGATGACATTACAATTTCAATTCAACGTTTTAGCTTTTTCATATTCCTTTACATGTCACTATGTTTAAATAGGTTGACTTGGGACATTTTTTTCGTGGTTTTTGTATTAGACCCGTCGTCGTCCATTTATTTGTAAGTCAATGTACACATAAATGAAAATATGGTGTTTTTTCTATTTTTAACCTTGTTTTTATAATTTATAAACATTTACCATATTTACTTACGACAATATTATTATATTGTCCAAGTGTACACTACGGGTGTATGTATGTGTTATGAATAGTGTTAAGAATTTTTTCCTGTCCTGACGGCCTGGGTTGGGGGATGTCCATAGAAAGAATCCTCTCTTTTAGTGGTCTGCCCGCCACTGGAACAAGCCAGAATGTTCCATTGAAATAAAAACAAGACTGTAGGTTGTATTGTTCGCATCAGGTGAGCGAGAGCGACCTGCTGCCGCACGGCGTGTGCGTGCAGTGCGCGCACACGCTGCTGGCTTGGAGCGAGCTGGTGGAGTGCAGCCGCGACGCCGACCGGGCGCTGCGCACGCGCCTCGCGCAGTTGCAGCTCGTAGCCCAGCAGGTGCGTTTCACGAGTCATTTGGATGTACAGCAATCCTCCTGTTTCAAATCGCCGCTGTGGCTACCGTTGTCACTATGCCGCTACAAACTATGTTAGACCCAAACTAAATACTACTTCCCTGTGGATTACAATTAAAATAATTGTTTCAGGATATTAAACCCTCAACAAAGCGTGAACCGAACCAAATTGACCAGCTAAATGAGTAAGTATTATTACTTTTCAATTCTGCTGATATGTCACTGTGGCATTATACCTGATGGAAAGTAACCAAGTGGACGAAGGTGGTACACGTTCGCCTAGAAGACGCAGCATTCCATTCCTTCGGCCTATTCACTCTGATCTTATCAATGCCCTGAATGTACCGTTCGGGAAATATAAAACACGGCAAAGAGTTGCTCTCTTTAGCTGCATGCATAATGAACGCGCAAACGTTCCGTGCGGGTGCGGGTGATGCGGGAACGTGTAAGAGTGAAATTCTTCGAGGCGACGCGACGCGACTGATTAACCGTTGACCAAACCTAATAGTGTAAGCAAGCGCTTTATAAAATACCTATACGATAATCGATGGCGATGCTTACGAGATTTACCTCAGCAAGCACGATGTTGCTATTTAATATCTTAGCTCAGCGCTCCGGTGAGTCCAAAGCGTCCGACTGAGAACCGGTAGATTCGTGGTGACAATAGTACTCCACAAGAAAGCAAGCTTGAGCTCAATGGAGATTGGTTGATTTCGAGCTCCAATATTATTGAAGACTTTTGGTAACTGAACATACAAAATCCCGTGAAAACGAGATAATAATAATAAAATAATAATAATAATAATAACGCACACACTCGACATAGCCCCGCCCTAGGGAAACCCTGTGTCGCGGGTGCCATGGACACACAAATGGACAATTACAAATTACACCCAAACTCACGAGACAAATAAATGTAGGCCATACAAATATTTCTCCCGGCCCGGGAATCGATACCTGGGACCTCTGCATGGCAGTCCGGCATGGTAACCGTTCGACCACGGAGGCAGATCCATCATGTTCCCGAATGAATTAATGAATTTGGAACTAAGTCCGTAGATTAACAGAACCCCCAGAAACGTCTACGTACTAAGCTGAAGGGGTCATCGGAACAAACTTATTCTATGATAGAAAAAAGCAAATGAGAATTGGATGCCAGAAAATGCATCTGCTGGTCAGTGTTCTGGTATAAGTACAACCGCTCAAAGTGGCGAGTGTTGTGATATCTGTGAATAAACCGCTGCTGAGTACGAGTTAGTGCAGTCTGAATGTCTCCAAGTTACCACTCTGTGAACAAAATTTATGGGCATAAAATAACATTCCACGTAAAGTACCTTCTCGAACGTATGCACAGGTGCTATGCTGTGACGTAGAATGGCATGCTTTTGGGTGTAACTGGGGTACCTAATACTTCCTAGTATCGTCACTCATTCGTCACGTCTCCATGAGGAACAGCAGATGAGGTTTCAATGTCAATGTGGTGATTGATCTCGTCGAGATTTCAGTGCAATCTCCGAATATTATCAATTTACTTTAACCGCACGAAAGATGCGTCCCAGTTTTCTTTTGTCACAATTAATGAATGCATAAGAAAGCGTATTGGTTAGATTAGCTAAGCGAGAAGTACAAAAACGGGAGACTGACCTGAAGCATGCGAAGATGATCGGGATGGCCATCAGGCTTTTTGCATCCGGTCGACAATTTTTTACGACATGTCAGGGCAGCCTTTTGTCCGTGGCTACTAGAGCCCGTTTTAGGATCCCGCAACCCGGCATTCAAAAGTGCAACCATCATGGAGCACTGGAACCAGTCCGCAAGCGCAACGTAACTACCCAAACCCTTCCAGAAAGGCTACCTCAGACATCATGCTGGAACACGACTTTTACTGTTTGGCGACCTTATTTTACCAGCATGGTGATTGCTAACAACGGACGAAACCAACCACTGGTAATAAGTAGTTCGTTTGTCACCACCCAAGGTGATAAACGAACTACTTAATACCGGCACGTTCAGGGAAACCTGGTTAAAAGAGCCCGTGTACACGAACGACTTCAACTCTCAAACTAACTCAAGTTAAGCTTATTTTACTGTCCTTCTGTCCACTTAGTGAAATGTCAACAGTTCCTATATTGGTGTGTTATTTCAGGTTAGATTCAACACTTCGTAAAATCATAGAGGAAGCAATAAGTGACTATTCAAATACGATAAACATAGGTGGGGAACACTCGGATGTTGAGTTTGTTTGCCAAAAATGCCCAGAACATCCCATTTCGACCACTTCCGAAGAGTTAGCTGAACATATTGAGGTGGAACATATTTCAGACCTGAACATCATGCATGCAACCGAACGCTTTATAAAAGACTATGTCACTTTTGTAGAAAAATTAACTCTCGAGGACTCGACAGATAGTGACTCGAACAAACAATCATCAGAACCAATATTACGAAGTTATTGCTGTCCATTTTGTGCAAGCGTGTTTTCATCCACGATACGTTTAAGCCATCATATTAGCCAACATGTTGAAGTAAACATAAATGTGGGGATTATATGTTGCGAAGTACAGTACACGGAAAGAGAATCCTTTTTTAAACATTTACATAAATCACACGTGATCTGCAACGAAAATAATGTGAATAACATTTGTCGGACTTGTGGTTTTTCTACCGATACCCACAACGACCTTCAAACACATATTATCGATGAACACGCTACAGAGCAACATAGAAATAAAGGTAAAGATATAAGTAAGTTGCCAAAAAATGGCACTAGACATCAAAAATACATACCTGTTGCTTGTCCAGAATGCCACAAGGTTTTCTCTAATAAGTACCACATGCTGACTCACTTGAAAAGTCACTCAGAAATCACGAGATATATTTGCGAGTTATGCGAAAAAACTTACAGCAATGCTTCAAACTTATCAAAGCACAAAAAATTAGTTCATCAGGGAATTTTAAGTTATGTTTGCCATTTTTGCGGCGAGGCGTTTCCTTCGAGGCAAACACGGGACACACATTCGAGGATACATAGTGGAGATGCGCCATTCCATTGCGACTATTGTACGAAAAATTTCCGCTCAAAACAAACCTTGCAGAGACACATCGAAATGCACTTAGATATAAGGAAATACGCATGTCACTTCTGTCCAAAGAAATTTAGAAAGGGCTCTCACCTGATATACCATATAAGCACTCACGGAAGGAAGTAACGGAGATTGTTTGTTGCAGGTGCAAGCCCTGCCAACACGCATTTGAGACTAGAACGAACCTGGACTCTTCTGAAATCCAGTATTACATAGATACCTCTCAAAATGTGAAAGATAATCTAGAAGATAATCATTTCCTAGGAGAAAATGCTTCACAATCTGACGACGACGATGAACCTCTTTCAAGTGTTGCAACCAAAAAATCCACAGATTTATATACCAACTTCTACCATGCTTTATTAAAGTTCCGAAATCATTTCTTCTCTAAACATAAATTAGAGCCGATCAATGAAATTACAGACTCCAGCGATTCCGAAATAGTCAACGATGACAGTATGAACGGCGAAATTGAAGAACTGAACATTGACAATTTCGACGACTTAACACAGTGCAACATGAGAAAAGACAGAATGGATGAAAGAACTCGACTGGAACTAAGCGAAGTTAGATCGAAAATAAATGGGAAGATCTATTACACTTGCAGTATATGCGGTAAAAATCTGAGCTCAGCTCATACATATGTGTTCCATAAACGAATTCATACGGGAGAACGCCCATGCGTGTGTCATATATGCGGAAAACAGTTCAGAGCTCCGAATGGCTTACAAAGACACTTGACGGAAACTCACGAGAAAGTACGCCGACACTCGTGCAGATATTGTCCAAAGAATTTCGCTAATTCGCAGAATTTGAAACAACATATGCGGATACATACAGGGGAGCGTCCTTTCGTGTGTTCTCATTGCGGAAAACGGTTTACACAGAGTGGATCTTTGCATGTCCATTTGAAGACACACAGTGAACATTTCCCATATTCGTGCGCAGAATGCGGCGCAAAGTTTCGACTTAGATCCGGCTTAACAAGGCACAGACTCAAACATACAGGAGAAAGACCACATGTATGCACTCACTGCGGCAAAGGGTTTCGTCAAAAGCATGAATTAAACAGTCACACATTGTCTCATACCGACTCCAAACCGTTTACTTGCATACACTGTGGCGCTGCGTTCAGACAACGAAGGGCGTTGACGCATCACGTTAAAAGACTGCATGACAATGAACAAGCAAGAGAAGTGATACAACCCATATCTGCTCGGGGTCCAAATATGCTAGTCTATACACAAATCGGACCATACTAATGTAAATAATTTAGAAATTATTTGTTCTTATATGTACTTATAGTATATAACAGAGACTAAAACTTGTTGTAATCGAATGAAAGTTTATAATATAATTATTAGAAAATCTCGTAAGCTTTTTATTAATATTTTCATGACACCTTTTCGCTTCTACTTTACAGAACATTAACCGAATTCGATAGAATCGACGTCAAAGTCGAAGAAAACGAAGAAAACAAATCCGCGATAAGTCTCATTGAAAACATAAATAAACCTAAAATTTCTATCGCAGAAAACGGCAAAAAGTATGCGTCATGTGAGGTATGTAAAAGAAACATCGGTGTGAATTCATGGAGACGCCATGCGCGGTTGCATCAAGGAGAGAAGAGGTACAGCTGTCATACCTGTGGCCTTGCATTTAGCGACAGCGGAAATCTCACGAGACACACTAGAGCATTACACACAGGAGATCGTCCACACAGTTGTCCAGTTTGTCGTAAAACATTCTCAAGGAATAGCCATTTACAAGATCATGTAAAATCTCATTCGGATAGAAGAGAATTTGTTTGTGATCTCTGCGGGAAGGCGTCGAAATCCAGCACCGCGTTGCGAATGCACAAAAAGACGCACGAAAGCCAGCGCAAATTCTTGTGTATGGAGTGCGGGTCCAGGTTTAAAAGGCCCGGCGAGCTGCGTGCGCATGTGACGGTTCACACGGGAGAAAAAGCATTCAATTGTAGATGCGGACGAACATTCAGGCTGCGGAGTCAACTGACTGCACATTCTCGTACACATAAAAATACTGAGGCAGAAAGTTAACGATTCCTTGAACTGTGTTGTGTTATTGTTCAAGGTTAATGGTGAAGATTATTGATGAAAGAGAATATTTTGCCCAACTTAACAAAACTACAAAATAATATTTTTTTAGTCTCTTAAGTCTTGATGGACCTGCTTTGTTGCAGGTTCCAAGAAGTGGCATTCGTAGTGCCGGCGCACGCGCCGCCGGAGTACGCTGCATCGGGACGCGCCACGCCCATTCTGCGCAAAGCTTGCGATTACTGTCGCTCAGAATATCCACAAAATGACTACACGGATCACTTGACGACCGCTCATTCGGACCGTCTTTTCCACTGTGAAGAATGCAACAACTACGTCGACAGAAAAGACTTTCTTTCCCACATGACTGTACACGCAATGGAGTACTCCTCGGAGAACGTGAGAAAAGAAATTAAGAGGCAAATGCAAATGAGGGCTAAACGTGAAATAAAGGACGAAAATGAAAACACAGAAGTCAGTAATAAAGAACCTGTTCTGCAAAATGACAATACGGACGTACAAGCTACTCCACAAACTACAGTAAGAAGCTTTGGGAGAGAAGAAGAGGACCAAAATGATTTTTCTGATCACAGCGATACCGAAAATGATTTCGGGCCTTTACCTGAATCAGTTTTTGAAGCTATAGAAGATTCGCAAGACAGTCAAACCGAAAGCGTTGAAACTTCTAATACGGGTGATGAGATAGCCAGGAACTCGGCCAGTACAAATCGCTCTTTAAAAACAGGAAAAGGAAAAATAGTACGGAGGTGTTCCGTTTGTGGTAAAGAGTACACTGTTTCTTCGAGCTACTTCTATCACGTGAAATACTCTCACAAGCAGACTAAAGAGCATTCATGTAAAACTTGCGGGCGCAAGTTCGCGACAAAAGGCAGTTTGGCCCAACATTCCAGCATCCACACCGGGGAAAGCCCGTTTGAATGCGACGAATGTGGCAAAAAGTTCCGAAGCAATGCCAGCTTGTACATTCACAAACAGACTCATAACGGGCGTAAAAATTACTCTTGTACACATTGCGATGCGTCTTTCCGCTGGAAGACGCACTTGGCGAGGCACATGACCCGACACTCAAAAGAGAAGAGACACGTTTGCGCGGTGTGCGGCCGAGGCTTCAGCGTCAAGTGCGACCTGCTCCGTCACGCCAGAACTCACGAGGCGGGAAAGATCGATTGCGAGAAGTGTGGCGCCACATTCGCTCAAATGCGGTACTTGAAAGTGCACATGGAAAAGAAACACCCTAGTGCGAAGTAAGAATCTCGTGGATTCAAAACGTGGATTGTCATTTCATTTTAAATGTCTACGCATGCAGGTGTAGCTTTGATTAAATTCATTAAAAAAATAATTGGTCCCTGGGACATTTGTGAAACTAGATCTTATTCACTATCTTTTTTCATAAAATCAAAAAATCACTTGTTTTCATAACGACAATTTCCAACAAAAGGAGGTTCGCCACCGGCGACGCGATATGAGGATTGAAATTTGTATGACAAAATTTCAGTTCTCTGTTAGCGTATCTTCGGTGAAATATTCTGGATTGACGAGGATGGACGAGGCGAGAATTGAATATTTGTTTTTGTAGTAATGAACCGTGTTGCTACCTAAAACTCGGACGAGCTCGCGAGTGCCCCCAGTGCCACGGGCATTGTGGAGTACGTACGATTTGAGATTTAAAAAAAAAATGGGTTCATCCGATTCCTATTTAACATATTAAATACTAATGATTTACGGGACATGTTACTTCAGCCACGCGTTTATCGCTAGACGAACCGAACAGACCAGGACCACAGCGTGAGGTCGCGACGGCTCGCGCTACCTATTATTGGCAATTTTTGGTGGAAATAGGCCGGCAAGATTTCAATTCTCGCCTGCTTCGCCGGTGGAAAACCAAAGGTGGTTTTCAATGATCAAAGATTCACTGTCCTTGTAATAATGGTAGCAATTATTATTCCATTCACCTATGTAAGCAGTAGTTATAAAAGTTCATCACCTAAGATTAAATGAAGGCCATGCGATAGTAGTTTGAATTTTTATTAAAATGCGAATGGATGTTAATAAGTCTTAGACTTGTGTTATGAATGACACTTCATTTTGTCTTCACTCGATTATATTAAATCTTAGATAGTATTTATTATTCGCGTCGTTAGCAGTAATACTCAATATTTATTCCAAACCGTTTAAAATAAATCATGTCGTGGGTCATACTTCATGACTTGAGAAATTAAATTTCTCTTACAACCTATTATTCGGCATACCTACTATTAGGGCCCGGTGAGGGATGGTAGCATATTCTAGTCATGTCTTCTGCGACGTCGTCGATTATCCTCATCCTCGGTTTACGTTTAGTTGGAATATCAGTACATTTCTTATAGTACACGCATACTTTCACATTTGTTGTAATATTTGTATGTTTGTATCTGCCCAACTCTATTATTTCTTTAAGTGAAATTGCACAAAATTCGACATAATAATATATATATATATATATATTACACGCAAAATAGGCGCCTTGACGTGGAGTTGCGGACACCAGCCCGTTACACCAAGTACCAAGTACCGTATATAAAAATTAATTAATATTTACGATAAAGGCATTGCCATTACTCTTGTGTTCAAATAATTTTCAGTCGAAGCTAAATATGGTGCATTTTGTTAAATTTCCAGTAGAAGCTGAATATGGTGTTTTTGGGGTCCTTAAATTGTTGCAAGCAAAATTAGGCAGTCATTGCAGTGACGTTACAATTTAAATTAAATGTTTTACATAGGAAATGAAACTATTTTTCCGGATTTAAATCGCCGTCAACCGTGACCATGGGACCTGTAAAGGGCCCAAAACGTTGGTTTGTTTGAAAAAACAAATGTACGCGATTTAAATCCAGAAAAATAGTTTCATTTCCTATGTGTAACAATCGCGAAAACCTAAGAACTTAAATGTTTTAGTTTTTTATATTTCGTTACATGTCACTACGTTTGTATAGGTTAACTTCGGACATTTTTTTCGTGGTTTTTGTATTAGACCCGACGTCCAATTGTTGGTAGGTCAATGGGTTGCCTATACAAAATGCGCACTGCCAATTAGATTTGTGAAATCTATTTTTTTCATAATCACTTGTTTTCGTGAGGACAGAATCTGACAAAAATGACCTATGGTCAAAGATACCATGTCCTTGTAATAATAATAGTAAGTAATTACAATTTTATTCCATTCACATTGAGCAACGGTCTCATCACACTTTTCGACACAGAATCGCATTAAGCTGGATAGAAAAAAGCTGTTTTTTTTCTGACTAGCTCAAGCCATTTCCGTATTCATAGGTATGGGGACTCTAAACAGTCGTGCACAATTATAACGACTGTATGTGGTGTATACTACCTAAGATTCAATTAACGTCATGTGATTGGTCAAATTCTTATTAATATACAGTTTCATAATTAATTTTGTCTTCACTCACTCATAATTAAACTTTAGTATTATATAAGTAATGTAGGGATTAGCATCGTTTATAGTTCTAAAATTTTATCCCTGTTTAAAATAAATAATGTCTGCATAAGCTCAATTTACTTTGGCGGGTAATGAAATGGGAATGAGTTTTCATAGCACAATTAATTAACTTGATGTCCAAAAAACAATTCACGCCCCTTCGGAATAAAAAAAACCATAAAAAAACTTCAGAAAAAAAACAATTCTCGCATTGTCTTGGGAATTCCCGCAGCTACCGCATCGAATCTTTTTTTTATAGATTGTTTGACAAAAATGTAATTTTCGTACGTAACCTAGCCAAGTTTTGGGTCGTAATAGTTAGTATATGCTATCGATACGATAAGAACGAATAGGTTATATTTTGTCATGCCGTCTGTACATAATTAGTAAAGTTAGGTGGTAGGTGCGTGTTTTGTGCCAATGTAATTTTGGAAAGATGTACATACAAACATATAATATATAAACGTTAGGTCAGTAGATTCTTTTAACACATACGATTATGCAAACTAAATTTTTAATCGACTACGGCGATGCTAAGAGGAGGATTATGATTTTTAAGAACACAAGCACATGTATGTAATGTATAAATTTTGTGTATTCATCTGTTTCCACGACATTGAATCATTGTCTCTGAAACATTAGATTTTATGTCAAGATTAAATTCCATTATTTCCACTAGTTCTGTTGACAGAACTACTGGTACTTTTTTCCATTTGTTCTGTTAATAAATATAATTTCGCTCTTGTTTACAACTTTTAAGTACTTATACTCTTTTTGTCGTATCGGCTTTTTACAGTTAGCATATAGACGTGTTTGATCTCTAGTTTCGATAGATGTTACAGATGTAAACTTATTGGAATTTTATTCTAAATAAAACCAATACACTCCACGGATGATTGTTTTTTATTTAAAGATTTTTTATAGGTTTAAGTTTATATTCACATAATAGTTGGCTTTACATATATTACACACTAAACCCCATAACTGTTAAGGGGTCACCACGTTCATGGACACGGAATCTTCTGAATCAATATTACTTATTTGACAGTAATTGTTTCGGACACGAAAGACGGGAGTAGACAGGGGATCTACGGCTCAAGCCGATTCCACGTTAATGAGTGTGGCGACTCCCTTAGATGTTACGTGAAGACGCATATCAAAGATGCAAATGAAGTAACATTTTGTTTAGAATTTTTAAAAGGGAGACCGGAACATATTTATTATTTAATAATAATCATAGATTTAGTATCTATGATTATTATTAAACTAACTCTATAACAAAATAAAAATATAAAAACTACTTTACACATACGAGTTTAGCAACAGACAATAGTGGTGGGAGATAAAAAGGTACTGTACTAGCTACAGCCTGTCATGTTGAAAAAATAACAAATACATATCATTCCAGTTGTAAGGTTGGATTAACTAATACACACACAGTGAAAAATACCTCTCTGTGAATCCCGGAATAATAGTACTGTATTTTGTTCTGTATATTTGGCGTGTAAATAATTATTACTTTATATTATACGGTATTAAGAAAATTTTGTATTAAAAATGCCATTTTTTGCCTTTTGATTGTTTTCGATTTCAGGAAGTTTATGCACTCTTCTATTATTTCCTTGAATTTTAAGGTCCTCATGTACGGGATGATTGGTCGTCTCAGACTAATTGAATCGATAGTGTATGTTTATGTCGTTAACGATTAACTTGAACGCCAAGGGAGTAGCGATGAATCAATACAATTTATCGTGACGAAACGAGAAATCAGCTATATGTGGAAACCTTTAGGTAAATATACATTTGTCTATACCGATTTCCGCTAATAACTATAATAATTTCATAAAAGCTTATTGCTATTAACTAAAAATGAGTATAATTTAAACCTTGTTTTGTATAACTAGTTCATTAAAAAATCCGTGTCATTTCTCAATGTGACTCCAAAATGCTTAGTATTGTAAGGACAACAAAATTTAAACTTGATTATTATAAATTATGTTTACGTTTAAACCATGTATTTGTCTTGCCGCAAACGTTTTACTGGAATTTTAAATCTAAATTACGTATTCAGTTATGATGATGTTTCCTGTAGTTAGTTGATAAACTATGGCCCATATTAATAAACGGCTAAGTCTGTTATGAAGGGCATATCGGTTGTGATGCCACTCAAATCTCGAGATGCATGCATGCTACCTTGAATGATACCATCTCGTATGTCCTGCACTTCATTGTTTACAACGGTTTTCTATCGGATATATTTCGGAGAGAGCGCGCGAAAACTCATTTACCGATTCCAGAAATACCGGGAAATCCCGGTACTGGCGAGGTGCAGTCCAGGTACCGCGATTATAGAACTACAATGTGATTTCAGGATATTATGTTATGTTAAATTTAATAATAATTAATAATTATCTCTCAAATAGATATTTTGAATAAAATCCTTTAGTTAGATTAGAGAACGACGGTTTTCTTTAGTATTTACGGTATTAAGGGCATAACCCCGAAAAGGCATACTAACCGGTTACAGTTTAAGCTTTTCAAGCTTTACCGGTACTGAGCTGAACCCAGCACCGGTAATAAAAATTTTACGAATCCGACTTCGGTTTTTTCGGCTTTTATCGCCACCTGTGCGGGATCTATGAAGCTTCTCACTTAGCCGGTACCTTTACAGCTACCAGAGTCTGACGTGAGATGTCGCTATATTAAATTTTCATATTGATGTTTATTGAATATCATAATGGTATTAATTTCATTTTATTTTTTTCAATTACTGCACTAGGGTGTTGTTGTAAATTTATAAAGTTGCAATAATATTAATGATTTATTATATTAGTTGTCATTCTTATTCGTGTAAAACTCAAGTGATATTAGTAAAACAGGTGATTTTACTAAGATCTTACTGACGATTCTGCACATAGATAAGATTTATTAATATGGGCCTAAATGTTGCATTATGAAAAAAAACTTAACAATAATAACGCACACACTCATAGCTCCGCACTAGGCAAACACTGGGTGGCGGATATCATGGATACACATAGAAAACTACAAATTACACCTAAACACGCGAGAGAAGTAAATGCAGGCCATACAAATATTTCTCTCAGCCCGGGAATCAAAATAGAGACCTCTGCGTGGCCTTTTAAAAATTAAAAATGTTGATTTGACTGCTTTAGATGAAAGTAATTCCGGGTCACAAGAGTATCCAACACTTTTGAAATAGTTGTTGCTTTAAAAATAAAATATTTATAAACATAAAACTTAACGTAAAATCATATCACAATGCCATTTAAGAAATAACAATTAAATGCAACCCCTTTCATAAATCCATTAATTAATTGGATTAAAATATAAAATGTAAACACTCAATATTAAATTGTCTATCCTATGTCATAATGTTACTTATCTGATTCATCCACCTTTTCTGACTTCATAATGGACTCTACATATATGTTAATTAGCTGATGTTATTTTTACTTTTCTTTTCACAGCCCGATTTCACGGCAACCAATAGTTTGACCTGTTTCACTACTAATTATAATACCCATAGAGGTGTGGAACTGTATGAAAAATATGTACCTAAAAGCTATGCACGACCTATTTGTATTCTTAAGCGCAATTCGTATTTTCAACTGGCCTGCTATCATCCATCCATGCCATCTTACTTCTGCTGCTAAACAAAAGACAGTGCATAAATAGTATCCGCAGATATCAATTGCATAGGTATTTAGTTTTTCAAATTGCTGACATATTTAATAAGGCTTTAATTTTTTACCAATTTGTATTAGCAAAACCTTGCCACATCAAAGTAGCTACTTAACTACACCAACTTATATGTAAAACACACTTCGTTTCTATGAACACAAACGAGAGACACAAATGTAGCTACGAACCAATAATGCATATCTTTGCACAGAAACTGATAGCGTCGCATGCTACAGTTCCAGTATGCGAATTGCGCATCTAATCATCGTAAGATGACCACAAACATTTAACGTATTCGAATTACATTTCTCAAACACCTAAACGCAATATATTGCCAATCACATTTTACACCAGTCCATTCTGTACAACTGCAAGTTATTGTGCGGCCCTGGCGACAGGTGGCGTGCTCCATCCCTCCTGTGCTGGACTGTTGGACTCATTCATGAGCCTTTGCCGCTCCCTGTACATGGAGACTTGGATGTTCTCCAGCTGGTGGTAGCGGCACACTTTGAGCGTTGAGAACACTGCCAAGCCGACCCATGTCGCGAACGAGGCCCATACGGCAAACTGTGACCAATTCAAAGAGCTGCTTTATCTGTTTTGTCTAAGTGTGTTGTTACATCACTCATCATTAAGCTGGTCTACTCTTTATTTCAATTTACTTTTTAAACAAACAATAACAATGCAATTACTGAAGAGCAAAGCACAGACTCTAATCTGAATCTCCACAAAAATATCACAACCTTGTGCATTTGTATAAGAAAATAATATGAGTAAATATATTACTTGCACTGTGCCAATCTCTATGAAGAAGCCGTTGGTAGATATTTTGTCAACCGTATCAATTTCCTGCCCAGCTGCATCTTCACAGCTGAAATTATAAGTGAGATCTGTAATTATTCTTTTAAGCCTCTGCAGGCTATACACCAATTGCAGGGCCGGCTCTTTGTTTACACGTCATAGCCAGCAAAAGGAGGTCACAGGGTATGCCGAATGATTAGTCAGCAACATAAGTTACTAACCTATATTATTTCCTAGATATTATTACTAAAATGCACTTGAAATCTACGTATGTATCTTCCAAAATTAAAGGATTATTCCCAGTTGTCACCACTGGCTTCGTTCCACTAGCGACAAATGGGAAAAAACTCCCATGTCATCAGGTGGTGACAAGCGGGATAAAAAAATCCCAGTTGTTGCCAGTTAATAAATTAATGTAAGTTATTGCCGCCATCGTAAGAGAATAAAATAAAATTCGAGTTTAATGATGAAAGTATAGATCTTATTAAGTTGAATTTCATTTTATTCCCTTTCGATGGTGGCAATAAACTTACATTAATTGGAATTTTTTATTTCATTTGGTTTTTTTTACCACTAGCAACCTACTGGGATATTTTAAATTCCGTTTGCCGCCAGATCTTTTTATCCCGTTCGTCACCACCTGGTAACATTTGGAATTTCTTTCCCATTTGTCGCCAGTAGAAATCACCACTGGCAACAACTGGGATTTTTTAACTGGTTTGTCACCACCTGGTACCATACGAGATTTTTTCCCATTTGTCGGCAGTGGAAACAAAACCAGTTGTGACAACTTGGAATAAGCCAAAATAAATGTCAAAATCCATAATTGCAAAAGAAATAGGTTAATGACCTATAAAAGAGTACCTGGGAAACCGTTCTGTGATTTTCTCACACCAACTCATGAAACCAAGGGTCACCAGCACCGCAGCAGAAACAGCCAAACCACAAAGCAGCGTGCAGCCCACTGCCTCTATGAAAGCTGAGAGGAAAGAACTGTCTTCCCCTTTGTAGCGTAGCATTGACAATCTGAAATTGTATCATAAGAAAAAAAATGGAAGGCAAGGACACATTGTAGCAGTCACTTATGTATTTTTGTTTGTATTTTTATAAATTCCAACAAGGACTAAGATATTTGTATAACCTAAATACTGACAGCTGTAGCAGCCTAATGATTTGGGTTAGTATTAGGGCTCGCACCTCATGAGTTTTTCGGAATTAATTATGTGCGAAATTTAATTTCAAATACAATTTACACTTTTTCAGCAAAGGAAACCATTGTGAGGAAACCTGCACACATTTGCAATGCAATTTAAAGATGTGTGAAATTCTCAATTGCATTGGGCCCAAGCTCTCTCATTGTGAGAGGTGGCCTGTGACCAGCAGTGGGACTATTATATAGTAACTATTATTATTATTATTGAACATTAATATAATTTCACCCCTTTTGTCACATTTTGTGACTTGATGCACAATAAAATATTAATGTTCTTTGTTTAAGAGAAGAGGATTCTTTCTCTAAAACTTAGATTAATATTATGAAATACCTGTAAATCTGTACACAGCAAACTATGAACATGAGCACACCAACAACCAGGACATAGTGGCAGTAACCAGTCGACGCCCACAGCACCTTTAGCATGCCATCTACCTCTGCCCACTCACCACCAGAGAACAACAGACAGTGTCCACTGAAACAGAAACATTAATTTTTGTGACTTGAATAGCTTTCTTCGTTTGGGCGTTATGCTGTACTCTCTTTCAGATGTACCACAACTCTGCTGCTTGTTTGTTTATTATCAAATATGGACTTGGATAAATGGTTTGTATTCAATAGTTCTATAAAATAGTGATCAATTATTTTAGAAAATGCAACTAAAAAATTGGCCAAGTATGCAGACTTCCATTTCGAAAGAGGCGGCTCTGAGCAAATATTATTAAGGAGCAGTAATTACTCCGTCAATATACCAATTTTTAAGTTTTTACCTGACTCACGCGATTTCTTATTAGGAGACTATGAACAGTACATTAACACCTGTATTCTAAACCGTGGAATAAACATTAAAGCAATTAAGAAAATAGATCGCAATAGGAAACTTACTTAAACTCATCTTGATGCATGCTCATTGGAACAATGATGCATAGCGAAAGTATGAGACCGATCACGTAGCCCGTGATCTGGCTCAACAGAAGAACGTTCGTTATAGCCATTGCAGGGACAAACAGTACAAAGTCGAAAAGAATACAGACAGATTTCACAACGAAACGAGAAAACAAAGATTGTTTTGCAAAATCTTATTTTTTAATTTTCACTTATTTGGGTAGGCAAAGGTTTTACCATACAGCCTCTTCATAAAAATGTTTTGCAAAAATATTGCAGGCAGTTTATTTTTTATTATTAATTTATAAAGCATGGGCTTTAAAGCCATCAGTTTAATGGTAACAAATAATCAAGAAACTCACAAGGTAATATACATAGGCTAAAAATTAATTCATGTAAAAAATGTAACTATTACAACCCGCCATTTTCTTCTTATTTTCTTGCAGCCAGACGAAATCGCGTTTACTTTGATATTTATTGACGTCACTTATTATGTCAAAGAACGTAAAGGAAATTTGGTGCCAATTAGAGATGGGTCATGGATAAATATCATTGGGATAAATACTCAGGATAAATATCCATTTTTACTCGATATTTATCCAAAAACGTGGATAAATATTTTTTATCGAGTACCTACACAATTATAAGCATTTATTTTCTATATCATGTGTTTTCATTAATAAGTTTTGTGTGTGAAATGTGAAATAGAATCCTTAGACTATTTCAAGTCCAAACATGACTTTGTTTAGTACGCAGTAAACTTCAATACCATAAAGTTGAGTTGCAATTTATTGACGCAGGATAGGTCAGCTCAAGGGTTACAGTTAAAATGACAACTTTCTGTCAATCGAATTTTTTTTATACCACTAGACTCGAAAAACGTAGGTAGAACAGTATTGTTACATAAAAGAATGGCAAAAACGTAATTATTTAATAAAAAATAAATTCTAATGAATTTTATTATAAAAAATACAAAAAATTAACCATGTTTTAGGATAAATAAATAAATAAATAAATAAATAAATAAATAAATAACGCACACACTCAACATAGTACTTAGTAAAAACGGATATTTATTGAATATTTATCCTAAGACGGATATTTATCGAGTAAAAACCCATCTCTAGTGCCAATATTTGATGCGTGTGTCGTAGAATAGGAGAATAATATAAAATAAGCGCATTTTGACAAATCATTTGCGTTTATGAAAATTATTTAATTGCTAAGTATTTGGAGCCAATGATCATCAATAATACAAAAAAAGGAAAAAGTTCTTTACTTGGAGTCAATGCTAAAACACAAATGATTATGATGAAATGATTTTTTTCTTGAAATTTGAAAAAAAATTACATAATTCTATAAATGTCTGATTCGTCTCTTTGCTTGACACAGATTGACTGTATAAACGTTTTCGTCAACAATATTTTCCTTCATTATTAAATCAAAAGTCTAACCAAAACGTTTTCACAATTCTACACTTTGCATGTGAAAAATTTTACAAATGAATATTTTTCCCATAGACTTAACATGATGTGGTTCAGTAACCTTATAGACCTCGATAGTCTCTAAAGTTGGGCTTAACCACGACCTGTACAATTATACTTATGCTAGTTTCAAATTGCATGCCCTGTTTTTCATGCACATCAGAGTTGTGAAACGATCCAGTAATTTCGGTCGTAGATTGTGCAAATTTGAGTAGATGCCAAGAAGTTTTCGCTCGCTGCTCTTCAAAAATATTACTAAATGTAACGATCCTCACAAATACAAACATAAAGTCAAACCTAAACTCAAAAATGTCATATATCGGACGTGGATGATGTGTTTCAATCTGTGCATTATTGTCTAAAAACTTAAAATTCCAATATATTAGACTTAAAAACGATAATATTATGATCATACTTCCAATATTCTCTTGAATAAGTGGTAAAATGAATTTTAATGCTTCCAGAAATGGTAAGACAGTGAGAATTTCGGAGAATATTTGATAAATCATCAATGGTAATGCAAGGTATAAGAAGTGGTGTTTTTTGGGTTGCAGTGGCGGGTGCTGGTAATTTACGGAAGGCGAAGAGGGTGAGTGACGTGGCGGCGATGGGAGCACCGTCACCACCTCCAGCCTTCGGCCCTGGCACTCCGTATAACGCTGGTTTCCCACCTGCCGGTCCACCGCCTCCTTACCAGGAAGGAATACAGTTAGACAATCAAGATTTTGGGTCTGCGCCACCTACAGGAAGTAAGTATACTTAATGTTTATGTAAAAAATGTTGTGATGTTATTGGAGAAACAGAACTTGAAGTTATTTGAATAATAATCTAATTGAATGTAATTTATAAAATGTCTAAAAGAAGTTAATAAAGTTTTGTGGTATAGGAGTGGTTTGTTAGTTAGCAGCTCAGTCAATAGTAAAGGTTAGAAAGCATAAATTGCTTAAAGAAGTAACTCACTCCACAGTGTTACGAGTGTCAACCACCAGGCTGCACAATGAGAATGTACAACCACCTGCTTACATCATTGTGAACAGATAAATATTATCCTTCATTCATTGACTTACAAATAAATGGACGACGGGTCTAATACAAAAACCATGAAAAAAATGTCCCAAGTCAACCTATTCCAAATTTAAATTGTAATGTCATCGCAGTATCGTGCTGTCAGTAGAACAAATGAAGACTAAAGCGGAGTTTGGGGCTCTGTATACGATTTTAGCGCCTTACAAGTGCGGACACTTTTTAGCGCGGACCCGACATCCATATAATTGTAAGTCAATGCCTTTATTGATTCCTTTATTTAATTTAAATTTACCTACAGTTATTATTTTAAAAAGATGGACAAGTGCTTAGCCTTTTAAATTTGGAATGCATATGAATTTGTACTGTTCATAACACAATATTGACTCAATTTAAATTTAAAAAGTTCATTATGTGGTTACCCAATCATTGTAACAAGTGATTGTTTGCATGAAAAAAGATGATGTGCTCTTTAATTCAACTTATAATACTTGTGACTTCTTGTTTGTGGTATAGAGTGATTTGATTTTGAATTTGATGTTGAAAATTGTTGATTGACAAATGCAACTGAAGAACAAAATAAAGAAAACCGGCCAGTTTTTTCCAAGTCATTTAGTGCAGTTATCTTGTATAAAAAAACATAAAACTACTTCTGCAGAATTTTACTTACATATTCAACATTTCATAATGTATAACATATTCATCAAAGTTAACTAATATTTTCGAAAATAATTTATTTACATCAACACTAACTATAACTATTTGGCCTTGTGTGTATTTTTGGTGAGAAATTGTGATGGTATGAGTTGATAAATCATTTTGAATTTCTCATCAAATAAAACACAGCATTAACATAAAATAGTTTTTTTTAGTTTCAAGTAAAATAGTTTATTCGTTTTTTACCGACTTCAAAAAAAGGAGGAGATTCTCAATTTGACTGTATGTTTTTTTTGTATGTATGTCACGCAATAACTTTTGAACAATAATTTGTGAACCAATTTTGATGATTCTTTTTTATTGAAAATAGGGTACCTCAGATGTGGTCCCATTTAAATTTGAAGAAAATTTTCCACCTCTAATAGTGGCAAACTAGGGGATGAATGACTTTTGAGGTTGGTTTTTTAGTACTCTACTGTTTTTGAATAATCGTAATTTTTGTGAGCATCTGCAAATAATCTTTAGCGCTGTTATTATGTTGTGCGAGTCCTCGAGTATAAAGAATGACAACCGTCAATAGAGTCTAAGGGTTAAAAGGACTGTGAAGACATGGCACCTAAGCCTAACACATATTCCAAAAGTATTTACTGTAGCAGTAATGCTCTCATATACAATGAGTATAGAGTTTTTGAATGACCACCGGTGCCTTCCCACTCGTCTTAAATATAAAGTCTGTTTATAGAACTGATAGTTCATCCACTTTATGACTTTTGGAACTTATTCAAGAATACCTTGAAAATGTTTAATAACTTTTGGGAGAAGGTATTAACTGTATAAAATTTTCTGTTACCTCGGTGACAAAACTATAAGGCAATGTGAAAGTATAACCAAATATGTCTACTTTCAGATTTTGGATATGGAGGTAGTTTTCCGCAATCCCCTATTGTGAACCCAGCACAACTTGGCTCCATGCTGCATCAGCCCGTAGTTCAGGTAACTACATTTTTACTTTAATATGATACAACTTCTTGTAATAAGCTTTAAATTGAAAAAAAAAGAATTAATTGTTGTAAGTACAAAAAGCTCCCAACTGCATTGTGTAATTATTGTATATTATTTATCCATTGTCTGTTTTCAACAATTTCACATGTTTATGGTACTTTGAATGGTAAGTCCTATACATGAACATCTTGACTTTGACATTAACTATGACCATATTAATGATACCCTCTCTAAGGTAGTTTATTGGTTTAATTTTTTTTTTTAATTTATTAAGGCTTTGGCAAAGCCATCAGCCTAAACATGAAGTTTAAATATGTTTCTGTAAACATGGCCGCCACAAAGAGGATAGGCAATTTGAGGCGGCGTGCTTGGATTGACTCGGGATTCCTTAGAACGGGCCGATACGGGTATTTTAGTTCGAGATTCGTATAATTTCACGTTTTAATCTTCGATTAAGGCACAATAGCACTATCCTATTCCACTTTAAACTAGATTTCACAAAATAATTGAAAGTCAAAATAAAAACGACACTTTTCCCTCCAAAAGGTCCAGAGCGAATCTGCTGTTATTAGCCTGGTAGCAGTGTTGCCAATGTACATAATTGAAAGTCCCTAGATGGTCAGAGATTTTTCGCTAGATTTGGATAAAAATAATTTCCTTAAATCCGCTAGATGTCTCTAGACTTGGCGGTACTTCCATGCTTATTTGAAAATCGAATTTGATCCACAAACGGTAAATAAAATCGCAAATAATCACGACAATATGAACCAAAAAGCACTTATTTTAATTTAGTTTTGAACACAACAAACAAAAAATAATTTTTAACTATTTATATTTTTAACTGCCTTTATGGCCAAACGGTTACCATACCGGACTGCCACGCAGAGGTCACAGGTTCGATTCCCGGGCCGGGAGAAATATTTGTATGACCTACATTTGTTTCTCTCGTGAGTTTAGGTGTAATTTGTGGTTGTCTATGTGTGTCTATCCCTTAATTGCCTATCCCTTTCTAAAATGTCCAATATTTCCTTTTCACTATCGTTTCTTTCTGTTAGCAATTGCTCATTCAGTGCCTTTGCTGTTTTGAGTTCTAATAAAGCGTGTTGGAGTTTATCCTCCAATTGACGTTCCGCAGCAGCTTTGCGAGTAAACATTGTTTATGCTTTTGAAAAAGAAAAATGAAAACAATTTGAAAAGAACGTTAGCAAGAAAGACAGGTGATCGAGCGATTATTAAATAGTGAGGTTATGTTACTTACAATTATTATTATATATTACAAAAACCAAATATTAGATAAAATAACCACTCTTAAGTTATATTATAAGTTTAACTACCTGTTTATCTTAATAATTATGGAAGTACTTACGAAATAGGATACAATTTTTTAAAAACAAATTCGTAACGGCTTTCTTTCCAAAGTGACTTGAAAAATGCACAAATTTTCAAGTCACTTTGGAAAGAGTAAAACAAGGTTAAAGGTAACCCCGATAATAACTGTTGCAGTTATATAACATATAACAATGAACTCAATTGATAAATCTGCTTTGCAACCACGGATATTATTTTACATAAGACACTTCTTGAAAGTATTAGGCCGGTTAACCTGACGGTTTTCAACGTCACTTTGTTCACTTAATAAACCTGTTCAAACCACTATGTATGCACTTAAAAACTGTATAAATATATTTTGTAGTGATATTATTCAGCAATGAAATGGGGTTTTACAAGAATAACACGATGAAACCAATTAAATTATGAAAAAAAGTTACGGAACACTAATGTTTACAACTTAACCGCTGGGTTGCCAGCACAGACAAAAAAGGTCCAAGTTATAACGTTTAGGGAACAAGTCTGCAGGCAGGGAATTCCACTCCATAGCCGTTCGCCATATAAATGTGGAAGCGTAACGCTTCGTGCGAATCTTTGGAATATCCACAAAATAGGGGTGGAAGGCAAGCCTACGCCTAGTCCCCCGATGATGGAAAGGGGAAGGCGGAATTAAATCGTGTATTTCCATCGCACACTCTCCGTGATATATACTGTAAAATACCGATATGCAGGCAACTTTACGGCGATGTTCAAGACTCAGCTTCTCAAAACTCAGCAGCTTCGTCTCTACTAATTCTGAGTCAGCTATAAGCCTCTTGACACGCTTGTCAATTGAATCCAAGGTGGCCAGTTGGTATGTAGCACTCGTATGGAACGTTCACTCAAGAAATCCGAGATCCAATTGCAAAGGGAAGTGGGAAGCCCATATCTTGGAAGATTGCTTAAAAGGCTTGCGTGCCAGACCCTGTCCTGAAGCCCTGAAGGCTTCTTCGAAGATGATTCACAACCCTCGGTGTGGCGTAAGGAAGGCGAGATACGCGGCTATAGGTGGACTGCAATTAGAGCGCTAATAATTCTTTGCCTGTGCTATCCTGGCTAAAATGATATAGAAGTACTCACGCGTTCCTCCCTTCACTACGACGGCAGCGGTGCGGGTGTGCGTCTTCAACTGGGCAGATGGCGCAGTCTTGTTCGTTTGTATTACAATGATCGGTAGCAGAAATAGAAGAGATAAAAACGAAAACAAATAATTATAACATTTCAAGTACATGTTGGATTTTTCACCGACACTGACTGCTAACGTAAACACCGACGACACCACGCAGCCAGTTTCGTTTCAGTCAATACGCGGGGCATTCGATATTATTGTTGATTGAATAGCACAGGCAGATTACCGAACACTCGGAAAACGTGTGGTCCCCACTCGCGTATTGGGCCAGTGTGGCGGACTACGGCCTAAGACCCTCGCCTGAGAGGAGACCCGTGCCCAGCAGTGGGTACGCATAAATGAATTGATGATGTATTATAATAATAATGTAAAAGTGTAGTATAATAATAATGTATTATAAATATTTTATTATATGTATAACTATAAGAAGACTAATAATTTCCAATATTTCTTTTACATGCTTTTCTGAATTCAGGACATGGCAATGCAGTACGGCAACCAGCTGGCAGCGCAGGGCCGTGAAGTTGTCAAGCGGGAGCTTAACAAATACGTGCCTGTCTCGCGACTGCGGTATTACTTCGCTGTTGACACGCGTTATGTGCTGAAGAAACTCATGCTGATAATGTTCCCATATACACACAAGGTTGGTGCTGTTATTTGCAGTTTCTTTGAACACAATTTACTGGAGTCTCACTAATATTATATTGGTTTTACCAAAAGGCCGTACTTACTGTATTAAAGTATAAATGAAAAACATAAAAAAAGGTAAAAACCAAAAAACAAAGATCTGCAAAAGTACATAAAAATATTCGTAACTTCTGCTGATTCGTTCCGTTGCTCAGTTGGGAGAGTGAGGCACGGTATGCTGAAGGCGCTGGTTCGACTCCAGCCAGATCGAAATAATTTTTCTCAGTGTTCGATCTTTGTATACTATACAGGGCTGTGCAAAATACGTCTTAATTGAAATACAAATGATAAAGTACTTCCTTATATGTATTTAAAATACGAAATATCAAATACTTCTTGAGGTGTATTTGAAATATAAAGAACTTTCATGGGGTGTATTTAAAATACAAAATACAAATACAAATTACAAAATACTTTATTAACATACTTGTCGCGACATGTAGAAACCAAGAATTTCCTTCAAAGTTTTTTCCTTACACAATACATATCTTGATAAAGAAGTTTTAAATTATTCAGTTTTACCAGAAAAAAAAAACTGTTAAACCAATCAATACAACCACACTACAGAGCACGAAGTACGTATAATTATTATTAATATTCCCATACAACACGAATACTTTATATACGAGTACGTGTAAATGCCGTTCATAACACGTTCACAACACAAATTAGAAAAATGGTTGACTAAAATCACAAATTCACAATGCCGTTATAACCCTTAGACTACTTTAAGTTATAACCGCGAAAAGATGACTTTGACGTCTTTGACATTACCATGCACTGTTGCCACCAGCAAACGTGCTTCTACTGCATTGAATACGAGTATTTATTTCATCTTGTTCATTTTTCGAACGATCCATTTTACACACACACACATACACAAACGCACGCACGCACGCATGCACGCACGCACGCACACACGCACGCACGCACGCACGTACGCACGCATGCACCACACATGCACACCCACACACAAACACAAACACAAATTACAAAATACATTACCGTCAGATATTTGAAATACCAATTACAAAATACATTTTTAGGGAGTAATTGAAATACAAATACAAAATACGTATTTCAATTACAAGTAATTCAAATACTGCCCAGGCTTGACACTAATTATAACAAACTATATTCTAGCGAAATTTGATATAGAATAAATGTGAACAAACAAAAATATGTTTACAGCCCTGTCATTTATTCCGAACACAGAGTTGACTGGTAAAAAAAAAACAAATCTAAAATTTTGATACTTTTTTACTCGAAAGCCGCAAGTACCTGCAGATGGATTATTTTTTTCTTGATAGAGAATCAGTATAGGCCCAAGCCTATACTGTAAATAAACCACACACATTACATTTTCCTACATTTCGAGATAAAAAAAAAGTTTATTTCTCCAAACAAAAAAAACGAATTTTTTTTCTCTGAAACAATCAGCTTTTCAAGAAATTACATAAGTATAAAAGTTATCAGGAATGTTATTATTTATCATATGAAAAAAATCAGCTCTGTATTCCTAAAATTGTTCCCATGATTAAATAAAAATTAATAATTCTTGGACATAGGAATAACTTGTGGAGTACCAAGCTATTTTTTATGTGATGTATAACATGTCTAACAACTTTTATTCATGTCTTTCCTGTTTTTACTTCTAAAATACAGCTCAAGTGTCGTTTGATGGTATCTTTGTTGTCAAAGATTTTGTAAAGGCCGAAACAAGTAAAAATCTGAAGGGGCTATGTCAGGCGAATAAAGTGATTAGGCAACACATTCCAACGTAACTGCAAGTTTTTGACGGTTTTTTATTTTGACATTATCATGCCGAAATACATCAATGCTATTCGCAAGTTCTGGGATTTTTAAATTAATTATAAGCTTAAAACTTTCCCGCCAACTCCTAAAATACGATCTAAAATCTTATTTTAAAAATAATCATGGACGATATAACATTTTAAAAGAAAAAAGAACTAATAGCCCGAGTTTAGTTGACTTGACTCACTTAAATAGTCTATTCTGGATGCAGCAATGAACTTTGGTTACGACGTGATAACAATACTAAAGTCTTTACTTCAAAAAAAGGAGGTTTTCATTTCGACTGTATTTTTTTTTATACGCGATAACTAACATTTGTGAACCGATTTCGATGATTCCTTTTCTCCCAGTCCTATTTAAATTTGAAGGAAATATTCCACTTCTAAGAGTGGCAAACTAGGGGACGAAGCCGGTTTCGCACACTTTCCGGTAACCGATTTCAATAAAACTTAGTTGTAATTCCACAAACACGCAAAATAGGCGCTTTGTCGTCGAGTTGCGGATACCAGCCCGTTGCACCAAGTACCAAGTACCAAGTTCCACAAACTTATGAAGTCAGTATTTTTATAATAAAAAAGTTGTTCACCTGCTGATAGCGAGGTTTATTACTACTTGTTTATCTATATTAACGTGAATTGGTCCGCTCCATGATTCTCTGTTTTGACTGAAATTTATCCAGTTTTACCTGAAATGTGGCCAAAGTCGGTAGTAACAAGCGGCGATAAATGCTTCACAGGAGTGGATGGTGAAATACGACCAGAACACACCGGTGCAGCCCCGCGACGACCTCAACGCACCGGATCTTTACATCCCTTCCATGGGCTACGTGACCTACGTGCTGCTCGCGGGGTTCATGCTAGGTGCGTTACTGCTCATTGGTCCTAGCTGACACGGTCAAGGGGAAGAGGTTTACTAAACTCGACCAAGCTCTAGACGGTCAGGTTTCACGGTGAATCAACTTGCCCAAGGCAAATGCGCGTTTGAGGACGTTGTTTGGCAGTGTAGCTCGACCACGTAAACGGGCCTTGACTTTAAATATTGTAGGATGATTCACTTGACCGCATTGACGATAGCAATGTTCTTTCATAAAAAACTGTAAACGCGGAAGCGTAGCAATCTTAACTTTATGCACTTTTAGTAGCGGTAGAGCTTCTTGAGAAAGAGTTCGTCCATGGAAGTGCTGCCACATTACCTATTTCTGCCGCCAAGCAGTAACGTCAGCATTTCTGCGTTCCGGTTTTGAAGAGAAAGGGTGCCGGTGAAATTACAGGCACCTGGGACTTATCAATTTATGTCTCGGGGTGACGGGCGCAGAGGCAGTGTCCCTCAGATGTTTGTGATTTAAAGCTCTGAATGGCACTGCAACTGTTATGGACAGGCGTGTAGCTTACCACCAGGCGCACGACTTGTTCATTCCGTCACTTGATATTAGAAAAAAAATGTATGTGAAGCGGCTCAGTTGTTAAAAGGAGGCAGTGGACTATGTTCCTTCCGTTTTGAAGAGTTTACCCATAAACATAATTTTGGAAAAATGTTAGTGGCACTCACGTTTACCTCAAGTGCAGCTGCGAATTGGCGGCGGTCACAAATAACTCGTTGATGGCAGCGAATGAATTATTTCAGCAGCGCTTTCGTCTCAATTTCAACTCCATGACATATTTATTCCTGTTGCCTGGTTGCCTGGAAGAGATTGCTATATAGCAGTAAGGGCGGCTGTTGTACCTGCCTGTTTATTTTTTGTATTATACTGTATATGTCCCAGTGTGCAATAAAGAATATATGTATTGTATTATTCTTCTACCTTTCGGGCATAGCCAAACGCGAAAAGAGGTCAGAGAATGCCTTCCAATCTTTTCCCTTAAGTACCTTTTATGGTTTCATGGGTTTCAACAGTATGTAGGTACTTGTATAACGTAACATTTGAAGTCTTTTCTGACCACAACAGGTCTTCAACATCGATTTTCACCGGAACAAATCGGCATGCAAGCATCTTCAGCACTCGCGTACATTATCTTCGAAATGATTCTCTACCTGTTCACCTTGTACATCACCAGCACAAATACCAGCCTGAAGACATTGGACCTGTTGGCATTTTCCGGATATAAATATACAGTAATGATCGGGAGCCTCCTCGGGGGACTAATTTTGGGCAAGACGGGCTACTACTGCTCGCTGGTCTACACTAGTATTGCGCTTAGCTATTTCTTGGTGAGTACTATGAACCATTTATCAATTTTATTTTAGGCTCTATAGACTCTTTTGGCCCCGTGTACACGTAAATGTACATAATATGTCAAGTGATTCAAACCCAGACAATATTATTCCTGTAATCGTGTTAATTTCGGTCGTACAGCGGTGCACACCCCCACCACTAAAGCGCTCTTTAAGGTGGAGTTCACGAACATTCGAGGACTCCACAGTAACATCCACGCCGTCCACCAACATCTTGAGACGACTCGACCAGAAATGCTGTTCCTTACGGAGACGCAAATACTCTGCCCGGCTGACAGCAGCTACTTGAATTACCCTGGCTATATGCTTGAAGAGTCCTTCAAAGCGAAAGCTGGGGTCTGCTTGTTTGTCCGGGCAGATGTTTGCTGTCGCCGTCTGCGTCATTTGGAGGACCCCTCCTTCTCCATCCTTGGGGTACATGTTGACCTGGGCAGTCATTGCCGTGTCTACATGTGCCTCTACAGATCCCACCACGGCGACATGGAGACAACTCGTCTCATAGACCACCTTACTCGGGCGGCAGATGACGCGCAGGCGCAGTTGAATTGGTGTTTTTAGGGGACTTCAATGCTCACCACGAGTCGTGGCTAAGTTCCTCTAAAACTGACCATGCTGGAAGAACTGCCCACACATTCGCTCTCACACACGATTTAACCCAACTGGTAAACCAGCCCACCCGGATACCAGATAGGGTTGGTGACGCGCCCTCTTTGTTGGACCTTCTGCTGACGTCTCGCCCGGCTGGATATCGGGTGGAGGTCCAAGCCCCTCTGGGCACTTCGGATCACTGCTTGATATCCACTAAAGTGGCAACGTTACTGCCACCACCACCTACTATGGCTAAACGCCGCATTTGGCATTATGCGTCGGCAGATTGGGACGGTATGCGGGACTATTTTGCATCCGTTCCTTGGCGGCAGCGCTGTTTTAGTGAGGTGGATCCAACAGCTAGCGCGACTGCCGTTGCTGATGAGATCTTAATCGGGATGGAATACTACATCCCGCATTCGGATGTCGTCAGTAAAGGGAGGCGCAACCGCTGGTTCAACCACGAGTGTGCTGTGGCTGTTGAGAACAAACAGACTGCATACCGCGCTTGGATCAAGGGTCGAGCTTCAGACGATCCCAATACGAACGATAGTGTAACAAATTCATTAAAATTAATAACACAGAAATATGAAACTGCGCAACAGGAGATTAAGGAGCACACACATGCTATGGATAATTTATTAGATTTGTGTAGATATAATAATGACAGATTTGACTCTTTAACAAATAATCAAGTTTGCAATTGCAAAGAAATAAAACCACAATCCTCCCTGTCTGTGTGTGTCACTAATCCCTCCTCATTGTTGTTGCAGGAATCTAGTTTAGAATCAAAAAATACCTCTTTGTCAATAACTAGATCAAATGAAATTCAAAATAATATAGTTATGTATAGTGATGAAATGGGTAAAAATATAGGTTTGCAACTTAACCACCTAGGATTAAAATTAACAAATATTTGCATGCCAGGTGCAACATACTGTAAAATATTAGATAGTATTTTGTCAACTAAGTTTGACAAAGACACTACATTAATAATTTTAATTGGCAGAAGAGGAAAATGTAACAAAAAAGATTTAATACAATATTTTTCACAATTAAATAATTTAATTAATATAAAAGAAATTATTTTGTTAGCTTTTCCCTTCAGCAATTGCCTCACAACAAGTGAAAATAATTTGAGGCATAACTTAAATAGGACATTACACAGCTTGACATTTCATTATAGTAAATTTCATTTTATGGATACTAATAATTTTATTAGTAAATATTTTTATTTGACTAAAGATAGGTATTATCTTACTAGTTATTTTAGGAGACAGATAGCAGAGATGCTATCATATTATATTAATAATTCAGCCAAATCATTGGCTACCAGACCGGCTGCTTCTATTGAGCAGTCCGTTGACATAGGTCAGTTTACTGACAATAATAATTCTGTTGAAATTAATTCAATTTCTAATTATTTAAATTAATTAATAAGACAACGGAGAGATACTCTTGCAACACATTCACAGTAAGAAACCAACCTAAAACACACAGAAATAAAATAAATTTTATATTAAACCTGGTGCACCAAAATATTCAAGGCATGAAAGGCAAAGAGCTAGAAATAGAATTATTTATTAACTGTAACAATATTGATATTCTTTGTATTACTGAACACCACTTTCTATCACAACATCAGTTCATGTTTAGCTTCAACAATCACCAGGTGGCTAGTTCGTTCAGCAGAGAAAAAGCTATTCACGGCGGCTCTTTAATTCTTATTAAAAATAATTTAAAATTTAAAGAACGTACAGATATTGTGAGCCTATCTATTGAGCGGACTATAGAGATATCCTGCATAGAGCTTGAACGGCTTGTTATATTAAGCGTGTACAGACCCCCTCATTCATCTTACGAACTATTTGAAAAAAGATTAGATGAAGTTTTAGCCAAATTAAATAATATAAATAAATATATTGCTGTTTGTGGTGACTTCAATGTTAACTTATTAGAAGATTCCAGTGCTAGCAGTAGGCTCATATCATTTTTCCAATGTTATAACCTTGTGAATCTTTTTTTGGTGCCTACTAGAATAACTTCTACTACTGCCACTTGTTTAGACAACATTTATACCAACGCCGTACCTAGTAATAAATCTATTATAAATAAATTAACTTCAGATCACTGCGGTCAATTGGCCACTTTTAATATAACTGTTGACAAAATGCCGAAAAAGGATATCACATGTGTTCCGATAAATAATGGTCGACTTAAAGCTTATAGAAATAACGTAATGCTTAAACTAACTGACATTCCGTACGTTAACGATCCCAATAAATTGTATAATTCAGTTTTCAACATAGTGAAAAGTGAACGTGATAATGTTTTTAAGTCCAAAATCATAACTATTAATAATTCATTGAAATTTAGTGAATGGGCGACTGTGGGAATTCACAAAAGTAGACAAAGGCTATATGATCTTTACGATGAAAGAACTTATAACACTAGTAACAGTTTTAATGATTTTGTTAGGAAATATTCGAAAATGTTTAAACGTGTTTGTGTGGCAGCCAAAGCAATGTTTATTAATAATAAAATAAAAAGCAGCGCGAATGTAGTAAAAACGACTTGGAATATTATAAATAGCGAAACTGGAAGGGTCAAACCTCGTAACTTAGATTTTCAACTAAGATTTAATGACAAAATTGTAAACACAGACGCAGAAGTTGCTAAAATATTTGAAAATTTTTTTACCAACATTCCAATTTTGACTACTAATTCGTTAAATTCATCTCCCACGGCCGCTGAATCCTTACTAAAAGAAAATAATGCAGTTAGTATCACTAATTTAAGGTTCCGTCATGTATTTCCAAACGATATTCTTAAAGCCTTTAAGTCTATAAATATAAAAAATACTGCTGATCTTGATGGTCTTTCAGTCAGAGTAATTAGTTCTATAGTTGATTGTATTGCGCCTTACTTAGCCTGTGTCTTTAATAAATGTGTTGATGATGGTGTCTTTCCTGACCTCATGAAGCAAAGTAAAGTTATTCCACTTTTCAAATCTGGTAGTATTTCTGACCCCACCAATTTCAGACCTATATCAATACTACCAACTCTCAGTAAAATATTTGAAAAAATTATTCTAAATCAGATGTGTGCACATTTTTATAGTAATAATTTAATGTCTCCTAAACAATTTGGTTTCACTCGGGGTCGCTCTACAACCGACGCTGGTGTAGAGTTGATTAATCATATATTTGATGCATGGGAAGTCTCACATGATGCTATTGGTGTATTCTGTGACCTTTCCAAGGCTTTTGATTGTGTGCACCATGATACACTGGTCAGGAAACTTCGCCATTATGGTGTGGCGGGACGTGATCTCGACCTTCTTAAATCGTATTTGCGTGGTAGGGTACAGAGGGTCGATGTTAACGGTACGAGATCGTCAGGGTCTGTAATTAGCATGGGTGTCCCTCAAGGTTCAATTCTAGGCCCATTTTTGTTTTTAGTTTATATTAATGATTTACCTAGCCTTATGGAGGGTATAAAACATGAGATAGTATTGTTTGCTGATGATACTTCCTTATTATTTAAAGTTAAAAGGCACCAATGTTCCTATGACGATGTGAACAATGCTATATCTAAAGTAGTTGATTGGTTTGCTGTTAATAACCTACTTCTTAATGAGAAAAAAACAAATTGTGTGAAATTTACATTACCCAATGTTAGAGAGACGGTTACAAACATTGTAGTTAGAAACGAAAAATTGAATCTTGTGGATACAGTTGTATTTCTAGGTATAACGTTAGATGCTAAATTGCAATGGGGTCCCCATATAAGTAAGTTGTCAAAACGGCTCAGCTCTGCAGTGTACGCGATTAAAAAAATAAGGAAACTTTCAGACGTCGAAACCGCTAGATTGGTTTACTTCAGCTACTTTCACAGTCTAATGACATACGGCATTTTGCTTTGGGGTAATGCCGCCGATATCAATAGAATCTTTGTCCTGCAGAAACGTGCAGTTAGGGCAATTTACAATCTGGGCCCCAAAGTATCTTTGAGAGATAAGTTTAAGGAAATTAACATTCTTACACTAGCCTCACAATACATTTATGAAAATATAATTTATGTTAAAAGGAATAGTAATTTCTTTATGAAAAATAGTGACAGACATAACATTAATACGAGGAATAAAAATAAACTAGCTTTTCTTGATAGTCGTCTTCACAAAGTCAAACAATCATTTAAGGGGCAATGTATACGCTTCTATAACAAGATTCCGGTTGATATACAAAATTTGCCTTTCACGAGGTTTAAAACTATAGTGAAACAAAAACTTTATACTAAAGGTTATTATACAACTTCTGCGTACTTGGATGACAAAAATCCGTGGTAGTAACCCGTTTAGCTCATGGAGGTAGTCTCAATCTGATGTTTCAAATAAAAAAATATTGTAAATGTTATTTACAAAGAGCAACCCCTAGAGTTTCTTGCTCATTCTTCTCAGGGGAATCTGCCTTACGAATGAGCGGTAGAGTTTAACCATTGTGACGATTTCAAGTGTAATAATGCTTACCTATGAAATAAAGATTATTTTGATTTTGATTTTTTTGATTTTTGAACTCACTTAAAACAGCCTACAATAATGCCACCAGGTCTTGCAAAAGAGCGTACATCAGAGCGGATGCTCAGCGCGTCGCACGAGTTGGCCAAGAACTCCTAACGCATCCCACTGGTAGTCGTAGTTACTGGCGTCTGGCCAGAGCCGTTGCGTCGAACTTCTGCCAGCCCTCGCTGCCCCCGCTGAGATATTCTGACGGCAATCTAGCCCACAAGCCGCAAGATAAAGCCGACCTCTTGGCAAATCTGTTTGCGGCTAACTCCCGTCTCGACGACTGTAACGCACAGCCACCAACTGTACCTCACTGTGGCTACACGATGTCTGATATTCGTATCAGACAATGCGATGTGCGTACGCAGCTGCAGTCTCTCGACGTCCGGAAAGCTAGTGGTCCTGATGGTATCCCAGCGATTGTACTTAGGAGCTGCGCAGCTGAGTTGACCCCCGTGCTAACGCGACTGTATCGTCTGTCACTCTCTTCAGGTCGTGTGCCGGACTCTTGGAGAGAGGCTAATGTGCAACCAGTTCCCAAAAAAGGCGACCGATCAGACCCGCATAATTACCGTCCCATAGCCATTACTTCCATAATATGCAAGGTTTTAGAGCGGATCCTTAACAAACAACTGACCCAATACCTAGAAGATCACTCCATAATTAATGATCGGCAGTATGGGTTTCGTCCGAAACGATCAACGGGTGACCTTCTAGCGTACTTATCGCATATTTGGGGTGAGGCTATAGACAAACATGGCGAGTCGGTGGCTGTTAGCCTCGATATAGCCAAAGCGTTCGATCGGGTCTGGCACAAAGCTCTTCTCTCCAAGCTCCCGGCGTACGGTTTGCCAGCCCAGTTATGCAGCTGGATTGCCGATTTCCTTCGTGAGCGGAGAATTCGCGTCGTTTCTGACGGCAGCATTTCGAGGTTCGTGAATGTGAACGCCGTCGTTACCGCAGGGATCCGTCCTATCTCCCACGCTTTTCCTTCTGCATATCAATGATATGCTTCCACTTGGGAATATTCATTGTTATGCAGATGATAGCACTGTTCATGGGGGATATCACGGATTCCCCGCAGCTGGGCGCGCCGATACTGACAGAGAGCGATCTAATCTTGTCGGTGAGCTCAATAGGATATTGGACCTCATCTCTGCATGGGGATCTGGAAATCTTGTTGAGTTCAACGCCAAGAAAACACAGGTTTGCGCGTTAACAACAAAATTGTCGCCGTTCCTTCCCATGCCTTCTCTGATGAGCACAGCACTCTCACCTCAGAGCAGTTTTACCTTGCTCGGTATGGAAATCTGCTGTGATTTGAATCCAAGGAGCTACATCGAATCTGTGATCAAAACAGCCTCACGGAAACTCGGAGTCCTGAACAAGGTGCGACGTTTTTTCACGCCGGACCAGTTATGCCTGCTGTACAAGACACAGGTCCGGTCTTGCGTTGAGTATTGTTCGCACTTGTGGGACGGCTCCGCCAAGTACCTACTCGATGCGTTGGATAAATTACAGCGTCGTGCTACTCGAATTATAGGCGACGAAGAGGTCTCATCACGCCTTGAACCTCTGCAACTGCGTAGAGATGTTGCATCGCTTAGCGCCTTTTACCGCATGTACCATGGTGAGTGCTCTGAAGAGCTGTTCAACCTCATCCCCCCTTCCCCGTTCCTGCTCAGAAGCACGCGTGCTGGCCTTCGTAGTCACCGTTTCACTACCTGCCGCATTCCATCGCGTACTAAAAGGTTTGGTGGCTCCTTTCTCTGCCGCACGGTTGACAAATGGAACTCCCTTCCGGCACATGTCTTCCCTCCCTCTTATGATATGGGGTCCTTCAAACGAGGCGTAAAGAGGCATATTGTAGGCAGGCAGGGTGGAGGTGGCTAGTGCAGTGAGGGTTTCATCGCTGCACTAGGTTCCTTCGCGTTTGGATACCACTTTCCACTTAACATCAGGTGGAGTGGAGTCATTTGCCTGTCATGTATAAAAAAAAAAAAAAATAAAAATAAAAAAAAACGCTCAGTGTAGTGTATATGACCATAGGTTATCTAGAAAAGTACGTGTTATAAACAAAACAAAATCATACTAATGCTGGAATTCCTATATATTATATTATCCTGTACATTAACGACCTCCCACATGAAACTAACCATAAATAAATGTACCTATACAATTTGCTGACGGTACAACAATTATGATACAATGTGAAGATAAAGCGACATTTAACACTGACATAAACAAAGCTTTGACAGATATAATAAATTGGATGAACTTTAATGACTGAAATATTAATGTAAGTAAAACCAAAATTATTACATTTCGATCGGACAATTCAAATCCTATACCAATTACAATTCAATACAATGCTGACACCGTAGAGGAAGTTGACATATTTATTTTCTTGGATTAACAATTGACACGCACCTAAGCTGGAAAGAACATATCGAGCAGATTTGTATGAAGCTAAATAGATTTGTTTACGCTCTACGAAAATTAAGGCAAACTGTCTCTCGAGAAGCAACGTTGACGGCGTATCACGGCTACGTTTGTGCTTAGCTACGGTCTTATACTGTGGGGCAGTTCAGTAGTCGTAGAAAATGCGTTTAAGGTTCAGAAGAAGTGTGTTCGGGCGATCTGCGGTGCCAGGTTCGACAACAGCTGTAAACCGCTGTTCAAAAAACTAAACATACTGCCTTTGCCATGCATGTACATTAGGGATATCTGTGTTTTTGTCAAAACGTGGTGAAATTAATCAAAGGCAAACTAGAGCAAAAATTATGAATCTTTTGTACCAACCTCGTTGCCATAAAGTAATTTATAAGAAAGACTGCTTCGACATGTGTATAATTATTTACAACAATCTGTGAAATGAAATGAAATTCTTGCAAGGACATGCTTTTAAATTACAATTGACAAAATGGCTTTTGACACATTACTTCTAGAATTTCCAAATAAAAATTTACATTAATTTGAAGTGCAATTAACAATAGAAACCGGATATGAAATTGATATTTGCACATCTGCTTGCAGGTTGAATACAATGTACCTAATTTTATTTAAGACCTTTGTCATTACTGTATTCTGGCAAATAAACGTATTCTATTCTATTCTACTTCCTTGGGCCTGAAGCGTGTAATTATATTGAGTACATTCTAAAGTAATTGAGTGTTTAGCGCTTTTCCCAACCTACTTTGCTGAGGGTCTGAGTGTCGTATTCTAGAACTCTACTCAATGCTCAAGTCAAGATTTGAGTATGGTTTAAAGCACTCGAAATCATGCTCAGTCCCTGCCATTAGGGTCGTATTTCCAATGCTTATGTTTCCAGTGCAATCCTGACTTGAGCATTGAGTAGAGTTCTAGAATACGACCCTTAGGAGGATAGACTACTGTTAAACTATTGATGGATATAATGCATGAAACGTTCCAAAGAAAGCGAATGGAAGTGAATCTAGATCGTTTAGTGCTCTATTAGTGCTTTATTCTTTTCTAAAATTTGAATGTGTTCTGGTTGTGTTTATTATAGGAATTTGATATTGTGTAAGAAAATAAAAATCTTATTAAATAATATTTATTTGAAAAGTGGATTAGAAATTTAATAGAATAATCTCAGTATAGACTAAAACAACCGAAATCAAAATTTCGTGGAATTACATCTATTTGCCAGTTTTTTTTTAAATCGGTTACCGTAAAATGCGCGAAACCGGATTCATCCCCTAGTTTGTCACTCTTAGTGGTGAAACATTTTCTTCAAATTTCAATGGGACCATTACCGAGGTACCCCTTTCCAACAAAAAAAAAATCATCAAAATAGACTCATAATTTTTTTCAAGTCCGTTAAAAACTAGAACACATGCGAAGGGTCAACACAAATCGGAGGACCGGAGTATCACAGCGCATTCTCTCTTCGGTATTGAAGAGCATGCTCAATGATACCGCAGCGGGGGTATCGGTACGCGAATGTACCGGTCATGCGTGCATGTCGGGGTAGCGGCAAACGGGAGGGACGCAGCGCTCCAACCCTGGCGGACTCTCGTGGCATCGTAAGGGATATTCCTCATCAGTGTGCGATGAGATCCTCTTCGATGTTCTCTCCCGCCGATTTGCGCTAGCCATACGAAGTAGACAGAACCCGCCTGACAACAGTTTTGGTTTATGGGGCGGTGACCATATGAAAATCTGTACCGTTGGAAGACAAAAAACGATCATTTTGATCTCACTTTGATCTATAGTGTTGAACCTCAAAATCGTAAACATTATCAAGGCGATTAAAAATTGCCTGATCCACAATGAAACTGCAGAAAAAATTAGTGAGACGGCAAGCGAACGTTTGTTGTCAGGTGAAAACCCTCCGCCTGCAGCTCCTTTCCGGGTCGCAGGCGCCCGAGCCGGCGGCGCCGTACGGCGGCGGAGGAGGGGGCTACACGCCCTACGGCGCGCCCAACCCCTACGCAGAACAGTGGAGGAAGCCCGCGGGGGGTAAGGCGACATCGTGTTGCATGAACTCGTGTCGAAAGCAAATTCGGCCAGTTAATCTTGACTATTTTGTTCGTTTGCAGGTACAAAACGAAGAGTGTACTTCTTATTATTCGTAGCTATAACGCAGCCGCTGCTGTCGTGGTGGCTCACCTACCACCTGGTGCCGTCGGCTGCGCCCGCGCCGGTCGCCGCGCAGCTATAGCGCCTCGCCGGGGTAGCCCGTTCCTACGACGCCGCTCCACTCACTTGAAAGCAGATTGATTCCGTTCATGGCCGAATGTAAATACGTGGGGTCGACTGTGCGGTTCCAAATATATGATTTTCTTTCGAATTCAACTATATTAAACTATTCATATTTTAAATGCACCCGTACTTATTTTATAGCAACAAATTGAGAAACTTTTCACTGTAGAAAGTTGTTATTTTACTATTCGAAGGATCTTGAGAAAAATTTCAATCTAGACACGATACGGTTATTTTCTGTGTTTAAAACAGTGGACGGGAATAGTCATACCGACATAAACAGTAGGTACATAATTCCGTTAATAACGGCCTGTGTTTTGTTAATTTTTCCATCTTGTACAAAAGACTTGAAAAGTTGTAAAATTTTGTAAATAAGAAAATGAATGCCTGAAAACTTGTAGCTGGATACAAAAAAAAATTATACTAAAATAGTCATTTATACTTGAGTTTGCATTTTCCTATACGTTATTATTTATCATTTACTTGTAATGCGAGGGAATTGTGTGTACAATAAAGATTTTTATATTATAATGAGATGTTTAACTGGCTTTTACATAATTTACAAAAGAGACGTATATTTTTAATACCGTTCGATGTCCCTAGTCGACTAGTGAAAAATAATCATCTGTTCCATTCATCTTAATCGAGCCGAACAATTATTATATTGAAGAATATCATCAATTTGTAAAGTACTCTACACCCGGTGGATATGAAACAAAATTGTACCACATTAAGAGCCTATGCCCATGGCGTATTTTATACGCGCTGACGACGTGCAGATGACGCGCGTTAACTCGTCGCAGCAAATAAACCTTTGCACACGTTCACAAATTCGGTTATCTGCGCATATACGCGCTGCAGTATGTATCGCGCATTTTGATAAGAGATAGTTTTAGTTTTGTTTGTTAATTTCAGTTACTTTTTTTTAAATGAATTAACAACAATGGAGTATATAGAAGTTTCTTGCTTGCAACGCGATATCGTGTGTCTATATCGTGTTTTACGTACGTTTGTATCGCGTTGTACGCGCGTTTGTATCGCGTTGTACGCGCGTTTGTATGAATACAAACGCAACAATCTGCTTTTAGAGCCGCTACGGCGTGTATACGCGGTAAAATGTCCTTACTTACCTGTAGTTACTATAATCCTTGTTTCTAATGATGTTGATTTTAGTTTAGATTTTTACCTCTAGCATGAATTAGGGAGTCACCACACTTGCCGGCACAGAATCGCATTAAGCCGATCAGAAAAAGCTTTACATCTCAAGAGCGAAAAAGATGTAACGCGTATCGCTTCCGCTCGGAACGTGCCGACGCGAAACGCATAACATTTTTCGCTCTTATGCCATGGATATAAAGCTTTTTCCGACCGGCTTACGCCGATTCTGCGTTGAATAGTGGAGTGCCTCCATTGAATGATAGTTGTCGCTAACGAGCGAGCGCGTGACATATATCTATATATTATGCACAATATTGCTTCTTTTAACAGCCAGTAGCGCTGTAAATTTGCTATACAAAGTTATTGTAAAGTAACATATTTTGCGCAATATCTATCAACGATAATTGTAAGTAATGAAACTATTTTTCCGGATTTAAATCGCGTATATTTGTTTTTTCAATCCGGGTTTAAATTGTAAGGCTCAATTTTCATTGTGGCGGAACGGAATGGTATGGAAGCGTCAATTTCGCCTCCATTCCAGCGACCGCGCCTTAAGGCTGTAGTATTTCGTCAACGTTTGACGTCACACTGCGCCTGCCTTCGCGCCACTTCGTTTCGACAGGCGTCGCCGACGACAGAATCCTCGCCAATGCGAGCATTCTCGAACATGCGCGAAAATTCCACGGAAGACGCGCGACGTGATTTTTTGCTCATATCTAGTTTGAACGTTATTTAATTGACCATAAAGTTCATTACGCTATGTAAGTATATACAATGTCATTACAAAAATTCGCTTCTTTTCTGTTCCGCTGCAATATAAGTTGAGCCTTACTGATGTACGTGACAAAGGCACCTGTGTTAATTGTATACATCTCACTGCTTTGCAATGGTCTATGTATTATTAATTTTTATTAACAATTAAACAAGCAAATGTGACATCGAAAATGCATGTGCGATCCTTAAAAACTGTTTTTGTACGGACTAATAAAACGCAATTATATTTGAAGGTTATTTTTTTACAATCATGCGTTTCATTTATTCAGGCGCCTCTTAATTATTTGTAAGGTAAAGCTGGGAATTAATTAGCCAACATATCGCACTTGACAACTAACATAGTATTATCTCAAAAATTCCGTTATATTATATTTTATCTGAAAATTGCGTTCTATTAATAATTTATCTCCAATATTTTGCTATATTGATGTGTCATTCATATACGATTTAATTTTAAAGTGACAGGACAACATTGACGCTTTGAAACTAAGTAGTGTAATATTAATATAAATTATAGCCATTTTGTTATAATTATGAATACAAAGATCGAACACTCAGAAAAAATTCCTTCGATCCGGTCGGATTCGAACCGACGTCTTGCATACCGTGCCAGACGCTATACCAACTAAGCCACGGAACGAACCAACGGACCTCACGAATTCTTCTATGTGCTTGCGTTGTGTCTTGGTATTTTGGTTTTTCAACGACTTTCTAGTCGTAGCGCCATCTATGAGAAATCTATGGAAGCTTTTTCTTTTTTCTGAGTGTTCGATCTTTGTATTAATAATTATAACAAACTAGTGGAGTAATTTCACAAAAAATAATTGAATATCAATTCAATAAAAATTTAATTAATAAAGCCATTTTGATATAATACTAATGGGTCGTATTCTAGAACTCTACTCAATGGTCAAGTCAAAACTTGAGTATGATTTAAAGCATTGAAAATCATACTCAAGGCCGTGCCATTAGGGTCGTATTTCCAGTGCTTGAAATCATACTCAAGTCTGCTCAAATCCTGACTTGAGCATTGAGTACAGTTCTGGAATACGACCCTAGGTTAGTTGTCATGTGCGATATTGGTTGACAGCAGTGTGACCAGATTTAGCAGGATCCTGCGATTCTAGCAGGATAACTGCGACAAAATTTGGTAAGCACCCCTTTAGGGCTTAGCAGAGAAGGATGCCTCCAACTCAGCTTTTTATAAAGCGTGTAATACCAAATTAGTATCACGTCTTTCAATATTAAAGAATCATGTCAACACAACCAAGCATCAAAAAAGCATTTACGAATTTATGATTTCAATAAATACAAAGTCCTACAAAAATGTATACTATTATAGTACAATGCCAGAGTGCCTTAAGTTACAGGCCTGGACTAGCTAAGTGAAAGTTCACGGCCTTTATTATTAATATAATATAATTTTTATTAAGAATTTTGCATTAGTATTTCCATAAACTTTTTAATTGCACTGGATTAATGTTTTATTTACTGCGGAAAGTTGATAAAATAATTGTCAAATTATAATAATAAACGAATACTCAGTTATTCTGTAGTACAGGTCTTAATAGTATTCTGTGGTAGGTACAGTCGGTGATGCATTAAAGGTAATAAATACTTGTAGTTAGATTTTCATTGTCACTACGACCGATTGAGGAATGGGATAAGGATGGTACAAAAAAGATAGGATTAAATGTGTCGTAATTTATTTCTGAACGGAGCTTAACTTTACAATTATGAACGAAAATAACTTTCCAAAAAATTTATTTATTTTTACGAATCTTTCAAAAATCATATGATTTTTGTCCAACTTATCTCAAACTTTTATAAATGAAAGGACTGTTATTTGATAATGTTTTCTAAGATGGATATAAATTTTTAGCTGGCCACTTTGTTTCACAGGTAAACAATATTAAAACGAATCAACGAAGTAGATTTAAAATGAACACGTTTCCGCGATCCTACAAGTGAAACAGGAAGTAATAGTGCAAAATGGGTGCATAAATTTTAGTGCCATCATTTCCTGTGGCAGATCTTCGCAACTCAAAAAATAAGTATTTTCTTCAATATAGCCAATAGCTTTGTGAACCCAATTCAGAATGAATCATCTTGTGGCAAAATGTGTTATGAAAATTTATTACATAGATTAAACGATGATTAAATACAAGTGGAGTTTAATTCTATACAAAATATGAGTTATGCGTTAACATATTTTTAGAATTTTTTCAAAAAAGTTTAACAGATTTTAGCCGAAAAGCTAGCAGGGTCATCAATTGAAACATTTAAATTTGGTCACACTGGTTGACAGGATAGCGCCACCATTCCGTACACGTTAAATATATGGTCATCACTACGAAACAAAAAACCTTAAAATGTGCAAGGTAAATCTTCGATTTTTCAGCGATCGTAAATATATTTCGTTTATACATGTAGGTAAACCCCGGTAATCAAGAAAAGGGTATTTTATCCATTACGATTCGTATTAAAAGTTGGGTCTCATTTGTAACCAGAGCACCCAAAAAACATTTTTTTTTTTATCAACAACAACCATATTATTATATAGAATTTATGTTGAAAAAGTAGAAGGTCCCTGGAGTCTGGAACTCTATTCATTAACATTACTCAACCTCAACGTTGAACAAAGAAAAAAACCTAACGTTTATAAAGGTACTATGCTCCAAATTGGAACGCAAATAGTCCTCCCCAAGTTTATCTAGTGACCTAAGTTTGTGCTAGTACTCTGCTCCAGTCCTAAAGTCCTAGTAACATAGATTTTACACGAGATACCTTGACCTACTGCGCTTCCTACACCGGCCATTTTCGAAAACCATTTGTTCGAAGAAAGCGAGGCCGATTATAGAATACATTATCGTACATATATATATATACTTTAAAACACACAATGATGATTCAAGTATGTAGGGATTCAAAAGTTGTTGGCCTTGACGAGTTTTCATATTAGAAACTTAGTGGTATGCGGAAAATACAATCTTAACATAAGTGTTCGACAATACTTCTTATATTAAACATATATTCCTGTTTACATTTATTATGAAAAGGTATTAATTTAAACTATTTCCTAATATTAACGTTCAACATTAAATTAATATATTCGTAAAATGAAATACCTTTTCATTTATAAACCCCGGGTAATGATAAATGTCTTCAATGAAGTTAGTCGTTAACACTGATTGGCTAATGGACGACCTTGGCGCATTATGTTGTTTCTAGATATACGACCCATTAAGTTTTCCAGTCGGTCGACTAAATCTTTTCAACTGATTTTAGCGACTTAAATCAATTGAAAAGGATTTATTACAAAAAAAACGAATAAAATTGACTTTGTGTTGGAAATCATGAAAAGACAAAAATTATTTCAATAAAAATTTCGTGTTTTATAATTGTGAAACAATGTGTCACAAATAAATTACAACCTAAACAGTAAAACTTTTAATTAATATTATGTTAAAAATTGGTTGAAACTTTCTTTAAGAACAAATGAAATCAAAACATAGTGCCTTGTGCAATAATACTAAAAAGATATGAATTTTAGCTACTTCGATGGCTCAATCGTTTGCACTGTGGGTACTGGGAAGCAGGTGCTACGCTCCGGAACCAATTCCTTTACTGGGGTACTCATAGTACCGACAGGGAATTTTCAGTTTGAGATGCATTTTGAGTGGTTGTTTGACCACTATTATTATAAATATTGAATGTCAAATTTTAACTTCTTTCAGAATCTTTGTTTCTATTTCACAAAAATTTCTAACGTGGAATAATAAATATTTTAGTTCATGAATGCATAATTTATAACTTAATGTGAGTTTTCAGTTTTTTGTTATTTTCAATGTAACATCACATTAAACTTTTGTTAAAATTGGCTGGATTATATATATAATATCGATTCATAATGCGTGTGGCTCAGCTCTAAAATCAGCTGGTAGCTGTCAAGACACAGGGCTGCCAACGTAAGCGGGGGCCGCCAGCCACCAACTTCACGTCGGCCATGCGCCACACACAACATCGCCGCAGTATCGACAAACGTTCACAAAACGTTTAGACGTAAAACTATAGTGTCACTTCTCTTCTTATTTTATTAATTAGACCATTTAAAACTTCAATTTTTCCTTCGTTTTAGTTGTTTAAGTGTTAAGTGTAATTAATGTTGTTTCAATAATGCAAAGTGTCGCATCCGTAAACGCATTCTGAAGCAATTACGTAATGGGAATTATGCTAGAGAAGTTTAAAGTTTTACCCTGAAATTCAACATGGCCGCTGACACAGGAATGGATACTTGCCCTAGTCCGGAGATCACGGACTCCAGGAAACGACCTCTCGACGGAGATTCAGAGAATGGCGATGTGAAGCGATCGCACTTCAGCTCGGGTAAGTCCGTGCGTCGCGCAACGCACCACCGCGCCCTATGCGCTCTTACCGACACTGTTTTACTTCATTGCGTATTTGGCAAGCAAATATAACATTGACACAGTGGTTAGCCTACTATGTATAGCCTCCAATAAGATTGTTATCAGAGTACACCGCTGTTATCAGCGTGACCTATTTAAAAGAGTCCCCAGGCCATTGGCGGCCCAGCAACTCGTTGCGAGCCTAGAAACGCGAAAAGCGCGCTGAATATGTTGCAAATTGAAATGCTCCCAGTGATAAGAGCCGGCGGGCTCGTAAAATGCAGCATTTATTGAATATTCTCTTTATTGCTTTCACATAAAGATCATAATCCTTGCTGATAAGACCCCGCATAAAAATTAAGTTTCCAATTTATCAAATGGAAGTATTCGAACAGTAGTCGATAAGCGTCAAGCGGCCCTCCCTGTGTTTAGTTATAATTTATGAGATGTTAAACGAGAGTCGTTGTTTTTTAGTGCAAGACTTGGTGACGGCCTTGCCACTGGCCAACGGCCATGGCAATATTACGTCTCATTTCGGTGAGTCGTCGTTTCTACAATACTGTTCGCTCTCATGGCTTTGTGGTTGTTGTGGCGCGCATGCTGGCGCGCGCACTCGCTCACGCTCACCTGCCGATGCTCACTGCTCACTCTGTGGAGCTGCCGTTGGTCAGCCTGGAGCCATCAGCGGCTGAGCCGGCAGCGTAGGTGTTAGCGGTCGATCGTCCTTCGCGCTCATGCCTCGATGTCGTGAGCCATGTCGTACTTAGCCTCACCTCGCCATACGCCACTCGCCACCCGCCACCCGCCACCCATGGCTTAGTCGTTGCATCGTTGGTGTGATCATCACCTCAGTGTACAGTTCTCAACATTTACTATTTGGTTCTCGCAACTTCCTCTTCAATTTGTTTTATTTCTCATCTGACCGCTTTTATTTCGCTTTATTTATTTGAACGTCACGTCATTAACTAACAATGATTGGATTAACATTTATTTCCATAGTCCATCAATTTATTTTAATAATGCTATTCCGTTCCACAGTATTTAGGTATAGTTTGGCACTGTTACACGTCCGTACCTTCTTTTAAAGTTCTAGTTTATTCATAATTTTAGGATCTTCATTTTAGAATCCTGTATCATTTTAAAAAAATCACACAATAGTTGATAAATAATTAGGAACGAGCGCAAAGTCTGCAAGTAATCAAATACCAATCAACAGTGGTACATGCCTTCACAGTCAACAAAACATGTGAAGCAAGTGACGAGTCAAGGTCACTGCCGTCGCAGGCGCAGCACGTTGCGCGGTTAGCGATGACGTAACATTAGGAGCTGCTGAGATCAGGTGTCGCGGCGCGCAGGCGCAACGCACAACGCGCAAGGTTGCAGGGCTCCGTGGGTTGCAGCTATGCCACTTGCGCAACGATTTAGAATTTTATCGCGACCATTTTTGGACGTAGTTTGGGGTTGTTGTTTATAACGATTTGATACTCTGTTAGGCGTTGTGATTGGCGAGCGAAACCTTTGTTTGCAGGTTTATTTATTAATAGTTTTAACGACGTTTTTGTTAAACCGTTTATTAGCGTAAGTTAAGTACATCCTTTAAGAGTACATGATTTGATGTCAAAGAATAGACTAGCATTCCGTTTATATCCGAAATCCAGTTTGGGGCCATTTAAGGGATTCTCAGAAGATCACGAATTATCTAATGGAGGGCAAGATTAAAACTTCATTTAACTTTTATAATCCGTCCATTTTAAAGGAACCGCGCGTATCATTTTCTAAGTATTTGCGCCCTGAATCATGATTGCAAATATTTGAGGAAAACTTCTACCAATTTACAAATGGGTTTCCTTTTTATATATATTATCTTGAAAATTTTCTTATTAAGTCTGTTACCACATTTTGTAACTGCGAAATTCTTGCTATTATCTATTAAAAAAAAAATTAAGTAGGCATATACAACTTACTTTCCGATGCTCTCAACTTAAGGGTGTCCTAGAGATATCTGTTATTTCAGGTTGAAGAAATACTCAGAACTGCAAGAACTATTTACAGTTCTGGTGCCCCTCGCTTTCAAGAAACCAACCTAAAACTTCTCATCTACTAACATATGTTGATGATTACATATCAACTCACTTTCCGTTCGGACGATGACGCAATCAGACATAACCTTGTCATATTAACGGAACAATAACAATATTATTTACTTAGATATTTCTTAACATAGAACCCAAAATGTAACCAGCTCATGCGGCGGTACCTGCCGTATTGTGCCTTTCCTAATTTATTACCTTGTTTGTAATGTTGCTTGTATTTTCGGATGTTGGGACAAAGGGTCTAAGAACGTAATTTTTGTGTGTTAGAAACTAATGTTTTGCCTAGGAGAAAACGTCTCCACGGCAAGGGTGACATGAACTTCCAAACTCCTTTCGTTTGTTTCGTTGTTTTCGGCCCAAAGTAGGGTAGGAATTGTTCAGTAATTAAACTTATATAAATTCTGGGATGTCATTCTGATAATTGTTTATTTGGTGCTTGAATGTTCGATGCCTAGTCAACGCTACCCTGACGTATGACGTAATTGATCTCTTAGAAAATGTCAAGGATTAAACGTTGAGCAATGTGATACTCAAATTCTTGAAGTGCAGGCGAAAAGCGACTCTTGAGAAAACGATGATTATCTCACGAAATTCTTCTAAACAGGTTGGCTCACGGATGCATTTACACGCGAGCAGTTTAGGCATTTACGACACCGTTTTTTCTTGATTTTAGTGTGATCAATTTTTTTTATGTGTTAGCTGCTAGCCTTGACCCATGTTTATAAATAGTACTGTGCACAAAGGACGTGACTTAAAATAGGAAAACCGTAAACAAATTAATATTCCTTATCCAAATTTTACCAAACATTATCCTTAGTAACAAATCGCTTCCCCGGATTGCAAAGTTCACTCTTTCCGAAAAATCGTACCAGTTCCAAATTTTCATTATGATAAAGTTGACATTCACTAAGTAAGCATCCAGTTTACTCATTAATGATTGTTGTAACTGAGATAATAATAAATGAGCCATTATGGGCGTAACCTGTTTTGCTATTGTTAACAAGCACGATCTCATCTTCGATTTGTCGTAAAATATATTGGCCAATTCGTAAGTTTTTGGTTGTTAATTTTTTTGTTCATTCCTTTGTCCATTTTGTGGATAGCCTTGGAACTAAATAGATTTAGCTGTTTCTCTTTAACATTTACGGCTTTTATATTTGCCGTATTATAATACGGTAGTATATATACTACATTTAGGATTGACAAGGGACTTAAACACTTCATTTACACAGACCTAATTTTGTAATATAACGTCTTCAGTTTAAAAAATATCTAAATGATCTATCTCTAAATGGGCAAATGTATATAAAAATATACTAAATATTGTAAAATCATTTCTCAATCATAATTTGTTGGTCATTGTAATTTAAAAGTTTATTATTTATTAAATATTACGTATCACATATTCCAACAAAGTCATCAATATTGCGCAATGTCAACTTCATTATGTTATTAATCTTGATATTCAGCTTAACAATGCTAAAAACGACATTGTTACAGCATTGAACAAAATGTGTGAAACTTCGAAGGCCGGGCTCAATGCTGACCTTTGTTTCATGATTTGTTGTTCTTTATCATAATATGAACGTTATCTAGCACAATTACTCAAATCTGCGATAGTGGGCCGACAAACGACGATTGTTTTATAATTCACTGATATGGCTCGTCTTTTGATTGTGCCTCCTAGGTACTTCCCTGATAGCTAGTCTTGTAAACGTCATCAAACGGAGTTAAATTGTCCTGCTAGTAACACCAACATAGAGATTGGACATTTTCGTTACGCCTTCTAGAGAAAATAAAACAATTTTTAACGAGGACATGTCACACCAACCAAAATTTAAAAAATAATGTCATTTTAAAGTGAGGTTTCAAATTGTGAGGAGGTAGTTTATCGGGATTGTGTTATCCATTTCTTTAACGGATAAAATATAACATACTCGTACAAATCTGGTTTTAATCCTACTTTTAGTCATTCTGCAACTGCTCATCATTCTTGAGCGTTTTTATGTTAGTTGTTTCTATCATCTGGAATTCTCCATAAATCATTTGGAAATGTTACACACACGGCAACTGACCAACTCGCTGTGACAAGAGACATAATGTGAGAAACACGGCTCCTTCAAGCCGTGGCCCTCAAGAAGTTGCCAACTGTCGTTAAGATATCCCGCGTTTGTTTGCACCTAACTTTTCCCGTTGGAATAAAAGTTTTGTATTTTAAAGGATGGATAAGATATTTTGAATAAAATTTAAATGTTTTGGTCTCCTGATGAATAATAATAAATACACCAAACAACCACACTAATTACCTGCTCTCAAAGTAGAGAATTTCCCCTAAGAGAGCAACGGAATTCACTCTCACTACACAGAACACCTAAACCAGATCCAATAGAGAAAATCATTTCCCATATTGGTCCTAACAAACACGGGACCTCACTTCCAGCGTCCACAGTGCAAAGCGTTGCCACAGTGGTCGTCATTTTTTTATAAAGCATCAATTCATTTCTGCAAGTCAAGCAAGAACATAGCTGTCGATTGTCAAAAGTAACGTCACTGCGAGCTATCTGTCAGTATCTCTAGAAGCGCGAGCATAGGCTACTACAATTTTAAAGTCGTCGCGCTCACAAATGTCTTTTTTTATTTATTTAAGAAAGTCAACAGCCCAATACATTTAAAATTTATTGTATGCTAGTCAGTGTTATAGCCAATTACACATTTTCTAGACTACTCGCATAATTTAGTCGTTTGTCGTCGCATTGACAAGCCGAACAGATAAGTGCGTATTAGACGATGTTAAATATTAAAGAAAAATTAACTCGACTTAATTCTTAGCGTGTCATAAAATCTACCAACCTACTACTATAAGAGCTACAATAAACACTACTCGTCCTCCGAAAGGATAAAAATGAAATACCTATAAACAAAAAAAAAACAATCAATATGTTTTCCTAAACATATTGATTGTTTTTTTTTTGTTTATATTTTTTTGTTTTAATTAAACTGTTTTTCCGGATTTTAATCGCGTATATTTGTTTTTTCAAACAAACCGACGTTTCGGACCCTTTACAGGTCCTCTGATGAAAAATCCCAAACAGACATAAGACTGCTGTACTAATTAATATGTTTTAGTTTATTCTAATTTCTATTATTAATTAGTAATAAATGGAACTTAATAAAAATTCATTCAATAAAATAATTTGTAAAATTAATGTAGCGTAAATTGGAATGCCTTCTTTGTAAAATAAAAATAAGGTATTTAATTAACAACTATTGTAACTATAGTGAAAAAAATAGGGTGCTTTGCATTAATGTTAGTCATAACTGGTTGAAGACTGTACCACCTCAGTCAACCGTGATCACGGGACCTGTGAAACGTCGGTTTGTTTGAAAAAACAAATATACGCGATTAATATCCGGAAAAATAGTTTCATTTCCTATGTCGCGAAA